CATCCGGAAGAGGCATGGCATGTGTAAATAGAACAATCTACCTCGGTGGGCGAAATAAAGCGTTCAGTTCCAAATTCCAATCACCTGAAGAAGGCTGGAGCATACAACGGCCGAAAAAACGTGATCAAGTCAATAAAGACGAGGAACAGTCCGAACAATGTAAATAATCAACTTAAATGCTCCTTATGAGATTGCATTACCGATAAAAAGCTAATGTATATATTGGCCATTCTACAATAACGTTATCAAGACGGCTCACTCTACACATGCATGATTTATCGCCCATTGCCCAATATCTGCAAAAATATTCCTGTCCACATTCACAATTTAGAAGAATATTAGTCGACAATACCCGTATAGTTCACCAAGAACGTAATGAACAGAAACTAGAAATTCTCGAAGACATCTTTATTTAAAAAAATTAAAATCAACACAAAATTAATTATGAATATAGTACAAAAAGTATTTATAGTATATAGTTCTTTAAAAATATCAAAGTTAAAACTAAACAGTTCTTTTTTTTAAATCAGTCAAACTATAATCTCTTAACGAATTTAATTCTTAACTAAGTTAATTCACTTTAAAATTTTACAATATGGAAATTTTTAAAAAATCCCCGTTTGTGATTTTGCGGATGAGCGCAATTGCTAACGACACCACCACAAAAGAAAACATTTAATTCGGACACAAAACTATTTGTTTTAGCCAACATAACCATGAAGATGATATTGGAATATATAGAAAGAACTCGAAAAATAAATATAACTATGGTACCTTCCTTGCTCTCTTTAATCCTGAAAAAACATATAAGATAATACGTGGTTACGAAAAGATATTATCGAAAATAAACAATCACGACATATCTAAATTATTTAATATATATATATATATATATATATATATATATATATATATATATATATATTTATCAGTTTCCTTGCAAGATGAGATTGAATTGCAGCTTGCAAGGAAAATTTATATATATATATATATATATATATATATATATATATATATATATAAAACAAAGCGGGCTCTGCAGTAAGCTGGATACTGCTCTCAATGCTCGCAAGGTTACTAACGACATCAAATCATCATGGAAAAGACTTGGAGATCCAGTGCATATTATTTGGTTGGAGGTGCTGATTTGATGAAAGGAACGCTGAAATCCTGCTATTCATACAGAAAATGCACAGCCCACATCAAGCATAGATTAATGATAAAAACTCTTCTCCAAAGAAGACTCAGTACCTGTAGAGCATAAATAGAAGAAAATGAAGGCGGACTGGTAGTCTGCAAAAGCTACAGAACTTTAGAAAGAAGCAGATAGGAAGGATTCGAGTTCTTCTTTCATGGTCCTAAAAAGTTCTATGGTCTTAGAGAGAATGGAATCATGCCAGTACTCTCCTCAAATGGACAGACTTTTCTGTCTGATATGTTACGTCGCTAGAAGCATGACTTCAGTTCAAACTTCACAAGCAAACACACTGTTTTAAACACACCGTCCGTCACTGATGAAGACGTTATTGCATCCATGTCTCCAAGTTCTAAAATACATGAAATGCCTTTCGAGATAACTTTGCAGGATATCTTGGATTCTATAAAACACATCTCATCTGGCAAAGCACATGGAAAGGATGCTATTCTGTCCGTAATCTACAAGTACAGTAGTAAAAAGTTAGTCAAAAAGCTCCACAAGCTCTTCAAAGAAATATGGAGGGCTTGTCAAGAGACTACAAGGATGCCTTAATTAACACATATAAAAGATCAAAGGTAACAGAAATGTTTGTAACAATTATCTTGGAATATCTCTGCTGTCATTTGCTGATAAAATATTAGCTAGACTGATACTGAACGGGATTATCAAGTACGTTGTCAACGAGATTTACCCAGAATCACAGTGTGGTTTCAGGTCCGCTCGTGGCACTATTAACTTTACACTCTTTCGGGTGGTTCAAAAGTGTATGAAAAGAACAGGAGTTGTAAATGATGTTTGTTGCCCTTACTAACGCAACCGACACTGTAAATTGTGAAGCACTCTGAAAAGTTCTTAAAAAGATTTGAATCCCAGACAAATTGTTGAATGTTATAATCTCCTTTCACGAGGGGATGGAAGCTGCTGTTGTATCTGATGTGGAATAATCTGATTCCTTTGATGTTACAAATGGCCTGTTCTCTTTGCTTTCTTCTCAGTAATGCTCAACTCTGCTTTTGCTGACATAGACACTGGTACATTATTTACATTATTTGGACTATTTATCACAACGTTTCGGCCGTTGTACGCTCCGGCCTTCTTCAGGTGGTTGGAATGTCAAACTGAACCCTTTATTTCGCTCACTGGGGTAGACTGTTCTTGTTCCACGTGCCATGTTTAATGGATGTCAGTTATCAGTTATCTCCTGTTAATTTTCCCTCTGAAAGTTTTCCACTGCCTTAACCGGGTATTGAACTTACACTCTTTGGGTCCTGTCACTGGATCTAACCAACGCCTTTATCCACTGTGCTATGGTCGGCTCAGGAGATTTTTGTGGCCTAGCATATGTGCTGAGACCTTACGTTTACGAATTTTTCAATGGTATTCCCTGTCTATGATCTCAACGTGGTCCCACAGTGATCTCCCTTCTCTCTCCATAGAAATAAATACAATATGGGAACCAGTAATAAGAAGTGCCAGAGAAAAGGAATGATAACAGCAAAAATTGCAATATGAGCACTGGTAAAAATGGTTGCTGAAGACATTAGGTTTATAATACCCAGAAATTCATACCCAGATGTCCTCAAGGACACATGGCACAGTGGATAAAGGCGTTGGTTAGATCCAGTGACAGGACCCAAAGAGTGTGAGTTCAATACCCGGTTAATGGTGGAATTGATGCAGTCACAACTTTGCGAGGATCAGTGACAACATAATACCTAAGGCCCTCATGTACAAATGACACTCGGACGAGTGTAACTCAGACAAGATAAAGAGTAATCTCTCAGCTATCAAAATGTGCCAATGCGAGAGAATTGATCTGAATATAAATAACTGGAGATAGTTGTGCCAGAATGGTATCCAAAATGTCGAAAACAGTCGTATTGAGCGGCACAGAGACGAACATCGACGGCGAAAAGTGTCAACAAATAATCCTCTGGTTGTATCACGAGATCCTCGCTGTTGCACAATATGTGGACTTGTATGCAGGTCACTAGCGCGACTGAAGGTGTCACATACGACATAAATGAATGAGGTTTTCGGATCCTCATATATCGAAATCGACTGAAGAGTTTATCACACACACACACGCACACACATCACACACACACACACACACATCACACACACACACACACACACACATATATATATATATATATATATATATATATATATATATTTCATATAGACACAAACGATTTACTTACGAAAAAGATGCAACTTCGTTTCGGTGTATTTAGTTGCACCTCGACTGGTGAGAACCAAAATGGTTATGAACAATTTTGTTTGCAAGCAGGCCGCACGTGGAACATCACTTTCTTTTTTCAAAGTTGCACATTTGTCGTGCATAAATTGTTTTTGTCTATATGAAAAAATTATAATAAATAATTATTGCTCTACTATCGATATTGAAACCTCTTTTTGAATTAATGCCGTGACCGTTATTCATATATTATTCTCGTTTTCATTACATTCGTATATATATGTATTTGCCCAGTAACAAAACTTAATAACATATTTCGTTAAATATTACAGACAAAGAATATTTAATTAATTTTTTATTTAGTTTTTCCAGCGTTCATGCATTTGTAAGGAAGTACAAAAAAATATCCGAATTTTCCAATGTCCCAAGTGCTTTCAGCCACTTCTTCAGCCATTTTGAAGGGCATTTGTTTTAGTTTGTCTCCTCATGCTTGACTGTTTAAAATCTATTTTTTGTCATTTTTTGTAAAATAAAGAAAGAATTGTATGTGGCCAGGAAAAATTACTAGAAGATGTGGGTTATTGAATGAATAACGTAAATACATTATTATGATTTTATTCCAGATTTACATTGAAAACGACGAAGAAAGGACAAGTTAATTGTTCAGTAATTACGGCGGAAATTTATTATATAATAAAATAATATAGGTAATTTAAATGTGTTGTTGCTGTTATTACGATAACGATGAAATCAGGAAGACAAAGACTGTCAGTGATTAGTAATTAATAGAATTTTTACTAACTAGGGAACTATAATAACAGCATAGAAGTATTAAATGCGGAATTAATTCAAGTCTTTAATTACGATATTTATACAAATTAATGTTTCTCACATTATAGATTTTTCATGTTCCACTTTTAATTTAAACATATAGGCCCTCACTAGCTATCAATATTGATTAATTAATTTAATAATAATGAGTTAATCGTTAGCCAGCTAGTTTTATTGACCATTTCTATTTATTCTATTTTCGATCCTCAAGGTGTCTCCAAAAACATTCGACCTTGTGCGAGACTACGAGAAGCATACTAAAAATGGAGGAACTCGTAATCAATTTGCCAAAGAAGTTTGACTATATTCCTATTTTCTGTCGTATCAACATATGAGCTTAATTAAATTTTATAAAGAAATATTATCTTTATGACACTTTGACATATTATCGTTTGGGCTGAAAATGATTCACCAATTTCTTGGATTTCAATATATATTGTGAATGCAAGAAGCTTTCTTGGTTAATTTCATTTTGCATAAGATATCTCTTCACCGGGAATAGATGGAATACAGAAAAGGAAAATTGCTCTCGGGTAATCTTCCCAAAGCAGACATTATGGATCATAACTCGTTCGCTTAATCATTGTTCTGAATCATTCTCTTGCAAGTTTTGCTTGATATCAGCCTTTTTGTCGTCTCCGTGTAATATAATCGAAATGAGCAAAAAGAACTTGATTATAATCATTTTATTTATTTATTTTGTTTTTATCTTCATTATTCAACCAGAGAACACTTCGCCTATTTGCTAATCTCAGTTCAGTGCCTTCGATGTACTTGGAGATGTTTCCCCTCTTTCAACGTAATTCTTCTTGACAATGCTACTTTGTCGAACTTACGTGGCTTCCCTCAGTCTTTTCTGCAAATATTTTCATGGCAACTCCTCTGACAAGCTTTTTTGCCTGGGTGACCCGATTACATGAATGTCATTGTCGTCCTAGTTTGGCATCTAGGTCCCACCATTTTAAGGTTGAAATAGCTAAATTCAACCACTACTTCTACTCCAACAGTTTCTTTTCACACACTTCACACATGTGGAAATCTTCTCCGTTTACTTGCTTCAATCATAACTGCAATCTTCAAAAGTTTAAATGCAACGCCAATCGTCATCTTCTTTCTGTCTTCTTGAATCCTGTTCATCTTTTGATTTCAACACTGTTTTGTTTCTTTTAATTTGATGACATAGTAATTGTGAGTTCAATCCCTGTACAGGGCAGCTCATCCTACAGGGAAAACAGGCCAAGCAATTACTGAGCAATACTAAAAAGGGAACAAAACAAGATAGCTATGAACGGCGGTGATTAAATAAAGTGTTGACGCTTAAAAGGATCTGCTGACACCTAACGTAACAACCCAAGTGTTGCTATAAAAGCAACAAAGATGAAGATCTCAATCAAAATGGAAAGAATTACACAGCATAAGTTACAATTTGAGATTCATTTCGATATTTAGATTCAAGTAATTAAAATTCGAAGGATTGTGAGAAACATAATTTCACTCATAACAGATAAATAATTCATTTTAAAACAGATATGTTATTAGAATTTGTGACGATGTGAGATTCGGGACATTGGCGGAGTGTCTAAAATGTCTTCTGAAAGGACAATATAGATTTATTAAATAAAGAATCTAAAATTAAAAAGCTTCGAATATAAGAGTGTTGCTATATGCCAACGTCTCTTCTGAAAAAACAGAAAGAAATTAGGCTCTTAGAAATGTTTCACCCTTTGCCAAGACTCTCGAGTTCTGTTCAGTCATTCATTTACATAAGCACTGGCTTCCCTTTTCTTTAAGACTTTTTCATTGCTTAATCGCTCTCTCCATAGAATTCTCAGCATCCTTCTGTAGAACCATATTTCCATTGACCCCATTATCCACCTAACCTTGATGAGAATATCTAGAATTCGCTGCCATACAAGATACACATTGCAAACCAGCAATCTTTTCTCTGCTTCTAAGGAAAATTTTGTATTTCTTAGTACTTTGCTTAGCTGTTGGAAGGCACCATTTGCTAATCCGATTCTCATTCAAATTACTTGGTTGCATTTTCTGTCCTCTGCTAAACAGTTCACTGATTATTAAAATTCTTTATTTGTTTGATGTTAACATCTCCATTTTGCAGTTAGCATTGCAATAATGTTTTCACTCTTCAGAGCTGTTGCCTTTTGTTGGCTTTCATTCTTCATGCCTGTTGCCTTCTGTTGGCTTTCATTCTTCACGCTTGTTGTCTTCTGTCGGCTTTCATTCTTCAGGGCTGTTGTCTTCTGTTGGCTTTCATTCTTCACGCTTGTTGTCTTCTGTCGGCTTTCATTCTTCAGGGCTGTTGTCTTCTGTTGGCTTTCATTCTTCACGCTTGTTGTCTTCTGTCGGCTTTCATTCTTCAGTTGTCTTCTGTTTTCATTCTTCAGGGCTGTTGGCTTTCATTCTTCAGGGCTGTTGTCTTCTGTTGGCTTTCATTCTTCACGCTTGTTGTCTTCTGTCGGCTTTTCATTTTTCAGGGATGTTGTCTTCTGTCGGCTTTCATTTTTCAGGGCTGTCTTTGTCAGCTTTCATTCTTCACGCTTGTTGTCTTTTTCATTCATTCTTCACTGTTGGCTTTCATTCTTCCACGCTTGTTGTCTTCTGTCGGCTTTCATTCTTTGTCTTCTGTCGGCTTTCATTCTTCAGGCTTGTTGTCTTCTGTCTGGCTTTCATTCTTCTTCTAGGCTGTTGTCTTTTCTTTCTTCACTGTTGTCTTCTGTTGGCTTTCATTCTTCACGCTTGTTGTCTTCTGTCGGCTTTCATTCTTCAGGGCTGTTGTCTTCTGTTGGCTTTCATTCTTCACGCTTGTCTTTGCTTTCATTCTTGGGCTGTTGTCTTCTGTTGGCTTTCATTCTTCAGGGCTGTTGTCTTCTGTTGGCTTTCATTCTTCACGCATGTTGTCTTCTGTCGGCTTTCATTCTTCAGGGCTGTTGTCTTCTGTTGGCTTTCATTCTTCACGCTTGTTTGTTGTCTTCTGTCGGCTTTCATTCTTCAGGGCTGTTGTCTTCTGTTGGCTTTCATTCTTCGCTTGTTGTCTTTGTTGCTTTCATTCTTTGTCGTCTTCTGTCTTTCATTCTTCTGGGCTGTTGTCTTCTGTTGGCTTTTTCATTCTTTCAGGGCTGTTGTCTTCTGTTGGCTTTCATTCTTCGGCTTTCATTCTTCACGCTTGTTGTCTTCTGTCGGCTTTCATTCTTCAGGGCTGTTGTCTTCTGTTGGCTTTCATTCTTCACGCTTGTTGTCTTCTGTCGGCTTTCATTCTTCAGCTTGTTGGCATTCTTGCTGTTTGTCTTCTGTTGGCTTTCATTCTTCACTTTGTTGTCTTCTGTGCTTGTCATTCTTCAGGGCTGTTGTCTTCTGTTGGCTTTTTACGCTTGTTGTCTTCTGTCGGCTTTCATTCTTCTGTTGTCTTCTGTTGCTTTCATTCTTCACGCTTGTTGTATTTGGCTTTCATTCTTCAGGGCTGTTGTCTTCTGTTGGCTTTCATTCTTCTGTTGTCTTTGTTGTTGTCTTCTGTTGGCTTTCATTCTTCACGCTTGTTGTCGGCTTTCATTCTTCAGGGCTGTTGTCTTCTGTTGGCTTTCATTCTTCAGGGCTGTTGTCTTCTGTTGGCTTTCATTCTTCAGGGCTTGTTGTCTTCTGTCGGCTTTCATTCTTCTGTTGTCTTCTGTCTGCTTTCATTCTTCAGGGCTGTTGTCTTCTGTTGGCTTTCATTCTTTCACACTTGTTGTCTTCTGTCGCTTTCATTCTTCATTCTTCAGGGCTGTTGTCATTCTTATTTGTTGTCTTCTTTCATTCTTCACGCTTGTTGTCTTCTGTCGGCTTTCATTCTTCTGGGCTTGTTGTCTTCTGTTGGCTTTTCATTCTTCAGGGCTGTTGTCTTCTTGTTGGCTTTCATTCTTCAGGCTTGTTGTCTTCTGTTGGCTTTCATTCTTCAGGGCTGTTGTCTTCTGTTGGCTTTCATTCTTCAGGCTTGTTGTCTTCTGTTTTCTTCTCAGGGCTTCATTCTTCTTCTTGTTGTGGCTTTCATTCTTCAGGGCTGTTGTCTTCTGTTGGCTTTCATTCTTCACGCTTGTTGTCTTTCTGTCGGCTTTCATTCTTCAGGGCTGTTGTCTTGTTGGCTTTCATTATTCACGCTTGTTGTATTCTGTCGGCTTTCATTCTTCAGGGCTGTTGTCTTCTGTTGGCTTGTTGTCTTCTGTTGGCTTTTCATTCTTCAGGGCTGTTGTCTTCTGTTGGCTTTCATTCTTCAGATCTGTTGTCTTCTGTTGGCTTTCATTCTTCACGCTTGTTGTCTTCTGTCGGCTTTCATTCTTCAGGGCTGTTGTCTTCTGTTGGCTTTCATTCTTCAGCTCTGTTGTCTTCTGTTGGCTTTCATTCTTCGGCTGTTGTCTTCTGTTGGCTTTTTTCATTCTTCAGGGCTGTTGTCTTCTGTTGGCTTTCATTCTTCAGGGCTTGTTGTCTTCTTCGGCTTTCATTCTTCAGGGCTTGTTGTCTTCTGTTGGCTTTCATTCTTCACGCTTGTTGTCTTCTGTCGGCTTTCATTCTTCAGGGCTGTTGTCTTCTGTTGGCTTTCATTCTTCAGGGCTGTTGTCTTCTGTTGGCTTTCATTCTTCAGGCTTGTTGTCTTGTCGGCTTTCATTCTTCAGGGCTGTTGTCTTCTGTTGGCTTTCATTCTTCAGGCTTGTTGTCTTCGGCTTTCATTCTTCAGGGCTGTTGTCTTCTGTTGGCTTTCATTCTTCACGCTTGTTGTCTTCTGTCGGCTTTCATTCTTCAGGGCTGTTGTCTTTCTGTTGGCTTTCATTCTTCAGGGCTGTTGTCTTCTGTTGGCTTTCATTCTTCACGCTTGTTGTCTTCTGTCGGCTTTCATTCTTAGGCCTATTTGTCTTCTGTTGGCTTTCATTCTTCAGGGCTGTTGTCTTCTGTCGGCTTTCATTCTTCAGGGCTGTTGTCTTCTGTTGGCTTTCATTCTTCAGGGCTGTTGTCTTCTGTTGGCTTTCATTCTTCACGCTTGTTGTCTTCTGTCGGCTTTCATTCTTCAGGGCTGTTGTCTTCTGTTGGCTTTCATTCTTCACGCTTGTTGTCTTCTGTCGGCTTTCATTCTTCAGGGCTGTTGTCTTCTGTTGGCTTTCATTCTTCAGGGCTGTTGTCTTCTGTTGGCTTTCATTCTTCACGCTTGTTGTCTTCTGGGCTTTCATTCTTCACTGTTGTCTTTGTTGTCTTCTGTCGGCTTTCATTCTTCAGGGCTGTTGTCTTCTGTTGGCTTTCATTCTTCACGCTTGTTGTCTTCTGTCGGCTTTCATTCTTCAGGGCTATTTGTCTTCTGTTGGCTTTCATTCTTCAGGCTGTTTCTTCAGGGCTGTTGTCTTCTGTTGGCTTTCATTCTTCAGGGCTGTTGTCTTCTGATGGCATTTTCATTCTTTCATTCTTCCTTGTTGTCTTTGTCGGCTTTCATTCTTCAGGCCTGTTGTCTTCTGTTGGCTTTCATTCTTCAGGGCTGTTGTCTTCTGTTGGCTTTCATTCTTCAGGGCTGTTGTCTTCTGTTGGCTTTCATTCTTCACGCTTGTTGTCTTCTGTCGGCTTTCATTCTTCAGGGCTGTTGTCTTCTGTTGGCTTTCATTCTTCACGCTTGTTGTATTCTGTCGGCTTTCATTCTTCAGGGCTGTTGTCTTCTGTTGGCTTTCATTCTTCAGGGCTGTTGTCTTCTGTTGGCTTTTCATTTTCAGGGCTTGTTGTCTTCTGTTGGCTTTTCATTCTTCAGGGCTGTTGTCTTCTGTCTTTTTCATTCTTCAGGGCTGTTGTCTTCTGTTGGCTTTCATTCTTCAGGGCTTTCATTCTTTTCAGGGCTTGTCTTCTGTTGGCTTTCATTCTTCACGCTTGTTGTATTCTTTTTTTCATTCTTCACGGCTATTTGTCTTCTGTTGGCTTTCATTCTTCTTCGGGGCTGTTGTCTTCTGTTGGCTTTCATTCTTTCAGGGCTGTTGTCTTCTGTTGGCTTTCATTCTTCAGGCTTGTTGTCTTCTGTTGGCTTTCATTCTTCAGGGCTGTTGTCTTCTGTTGGCTTTCATTCTTCACGCTTGTTGTCTTCTGTTGGCTTTCATTCTTACTGTTGTCTTTGTTGTCTTCTGTCGGCTTTCATTCTTCAGGCTTATGTTGTCTTCTGTTGGCTTTCATTCTTCACGCTTGTTGTCTTCTGTTGGCTTTCATTTGTTGTCTTCTGTCAGGGCTGTTGTCTTCTGTTGGCTTTCATTCTTCAGGGCTGTTGTCTTCTGTTGGCTTTCATTCTTCACTTGTTGTCTTCTGTCGGCTTTCATTCTTCATTCATTCTTCAGGGTCTGTTGTCTTCTGTTGCTTCATTCTTTCGCTTGTTGTCTTCTCGGCTTTCATTCTTCAGGGCTGTTTGTCTTCTGTTGGCTTTTTCATTCTTCGCTTGTTGTCTTCTGTCGGCTTTCATTCTTCAGGGCTTGTTGTCTTCTGTTGGCTTTCATTCTTCAGGTCTGTTGTCTTCTGTCGGCTTTCATTCTTCAGGGCTTGTTGTCTTCTGTTGGCTTTCATTCTTCAGGGCTGTTGTCTTCTGTTGGCTTTCATTCTTCACGCTTGTTGTCTTCTGTCTGGCTTTTCATTCTTCAGGGCTGTTGTCTTCTGTTGGCTTTCATTCTTCAGGGGCTTGTTGTCTTCTGTTGGCTTTCATTCTTCAGGGCTGTTGTCTTCTGTTGCTTTCATTCTTCACCTTGTTGTCTTGGCTTTCATTCTTCAGGGCTGTTGTCTTCTGTTGGCTTTCATTCTTCAGGCTTGTTGTCTTCTGTGGCTTTTCATTCTTCAGGGCTGTTGTCTTCTGTTGGCTTTTTCATTCTTCAGGGCTGTTGTCTTCTGTTGGCTTTCATTCTTCAGGGCTGTTTGTCTTCTGGTGGCTTTCATTCTTCACGCTTGTTGTCTTCTGTCGGCTTTCATTCTTCAGGGCTTGTTGGCTTTCATTCTTCTTTCATTCTTCAGGGCTTGTCTTCTGTTTCATTCATTCTTCAGGCTTGTTGTCTTCTGTTGGCTTTCATTCTTCAGGGCTGTTGTCTTCTGTTGGCTTTTCATTCTTCACGCTTGTTGTCTTCTGTCGGCTTTCATTCTTCAGGGCTGTTGTCTTCTGTTGGCTTTCATTCTTCAGGGCTGTTGTCTTCTGTCGGCTTTTTCATTCTTCAGGGCTGTTGTCTTCTGTTGGCTTTCATTCTTCAGGGCTTGTTGTCTTCTGTTGGCTTTCATTCTTCACGCTTGTTGTCTTCTGTCGGCTTTTCATTCTTTCAGGGCTGTTGTCTTCTGTTGGCTTTCATTCTTCAGGGCTGTTGTCTTCTGTTGGCTTTCATTCTTCACGCTTGTTGTCTTCTGTCGGCTTTCATTCTTCAGGGCTGTTGTCTTCTGTTGGCTTTCATTATTCACGCTTGTTGTATTCTGTCGGCTTTCATTCTTCAGGGCTGTTGTCTTCTGTCGGCTTTCATTCTTCAGGGCTTTGTTGTCTTCTGTCGGCTTTCATTCTTCAGGGCTGTTGTCTTCTGTTGGCTTTCATTCTTCAGGCTTGTTGTCTTCTGTTGGCTTTCATTCTTCAGGGCTGTTGTCTTCTGTCGGCTTTCATTCTTCAGGGCTGTTGTCTTCTGTTGGCTTTCATTCTTCAGGCTTGTTGTCTTCTGGCTTTCATTCTTCAGGCTGTTGTCTTCTCTTCTTCAGGCTGTTGTGTCGGCTTTTCATTCTTCAGGGCTGTTGTCTTCTGTTGGCTTTCATTCTTCGCTTGTTGTCTTCTGTCGGCTTTCATTCTTCAGGCCTGTTGGCTTCATTCTGTTGGCTTTTTGGCTTTTCTTCAGGGCTGTTGTCTTCTGTCGGCTTTCATTCTTCAGGGCATTCATTCTTCAGGTGGGCTGTTGTCTTCTGTTGGCTTTCATTCATCACGCTTGTTGTCTTCTGTCGGCTTTCATTCTTCAGGGCTGTTGTCTTCTGTTGGCTTTCATTCTTCACGCTTGTTGTATTCTGTCGGCTTTCATTCTTCAGGGCTGTTGTCTTCTGTTGGCTTTCATTCTTCAGGGCTGTTGTCTTCTGTTGGCTTTCATTCTTCAGGGCTGTTGTCTTCTGTTGGCTTTCATTCTTCACGCTTGTTGTCTTCTGTCGGCTTTCATTCTTCAGGCCTGTTGTCTTCTGTTGGCTTTCATTCTTCAGGGCTGTTGTCTTCTGTTGGCTTTCATTCTTCAGGGCTGTTGTCTTCTGTTGGCTTTCATTCTTCACGCTTGTTGTCTTCTGTCGGCTTTCATTCTTCAGGGCTGTTGTCTTCTGTTGGCTTTCATTCTTCACGCTTGTTGTATTCTGTCGGCTTTCATTCTTCAGGGCTGTTGTCTTCTGTTGGCTTTCATTCTGCAGGGCTGTTGTCTTCTGGCCTTTTTCATTCTTCAGGGCTGTTGTCTTCTGTTGGCTTTCATTCTTCAGGGCTGTTGTCTTCTGTTGGCTTTCATTCTTTCTTGTTGTCTTCTGTTGGCTTTCATTCTTCAGGGCTGTTGTCTTCTGTTGGCTTTCATTCTTCAGTTGTCTTCTGTTGCTTTCATTCTTCTTGTTGTCTTCTGCTTTCATTCTTCAGGGTCTTCTGTTGGCTTTCATTCTTCAGGGCTGTTGTCTTCTTGGCTTTCATTCTTCAGGGCTGTTGTCTTCTGTTGGCATTTTCATTCTTCAGGGGCTGTTGTCTTCTGTTGGCTTTCATTCTTCCAGGTTGTTTCTGTTGGCTTTCATTCTTCTTGTTGTCTTCTGTGCTTTTCATTCTTCAGGGCTGTTGTCTTCTGTTGGCTTTCATTCTTCAGGGCTGTTGTCTTCTGTTGGCTTTCATTTTTTCAGGCTGTTGTCTTCTGTTGGCTTTTTTCATTCTTCAGGCTTGTTGTCTTCTGTTGGTTATTTTCATTCTTCACGTATTTGTTGCTTTCATTCTTCAGGCCTGTTGTCTTCGGCTTTCATTCTTCAGGGCTGTTGTCTTCTGTTGGCTTTCATTCTTCAGGGCTGTTGTCTTCTGTTGGCTTTCATTCTTCAGGGCTGTTGTTTTCTTCTGTTGGCTTTCATTCTTCACGCTTGTTGTCTTCTGTCGGCTTTCATTCTTCAGGGCTGGGTCTTCTGTTGGCTTTCATTCTTCAGGGCTGTTGTCTTCTGTTGGCTTTCATTCTTCAGGGCTGCTTTGTCTTCTGTTGTCTTCTTTGTTTCATTCTTCACGCTTGTTGTCTTCTGTCGGCTTTTTCATTCTTCAGGGCTGTTGTCTTCTGTTGGCTTTCATTCTTCAGGCTTGTTGTATTCTGTCGGCTTTCATTCTTCAGGGCCTGTTGTCTTCTGTCGGCTTTCATTCTTCAGGGCTGTTGTCTTCTGTTGGCTTTCATTCTTTGTCTTCTGTTGGCTTTTTCATTCTTCAGGGCTTGTTGTCTTCTGTTGGCTTTCATTCTTCAGGCCTGTTGTCTTCTGTTGGCTTTCATTCTTCACGCTTGTTGTCTTCTGTTGGCTTTCATTCTTCAGGGCTGTTGTCTTTCTGTTGGCTTTCATTCTTCACGCTTGTTGTCTTCTGTTGGCTTTCATTCTTCAGGGCTGTTGTCTTCTGTTGGCTTTCATTCTTCACGCTTGTTGTATTCTGTCGGCTTTTCATTCTTCAGGGCTGTTGTCTTCTGTTGGCTTTCATTCTTCAGCTTATTTGTATTCTGTTGCTTTCATTCTTCAGGGCTGTTGTCTTCTGTTGGCTTTCATTCTTCAGGGCTGTTGTCTTCTGTTGGCTTTCATTCTTCACGCTTGTTGTCTTCTGTCGGCTTTCATTCTTCAGTGCTGTTGTCTTCTGTTGGCTTTCATTCTTTGGGCTGTTGTCTTCTGGGCTTTCATTCTTGGCTGTTGTCTTCTGTTGGCTTTCATTCTTCAGGGCTGTTGTCTTCTGTTGGCTTTCATTCTTCACGCTTGTTGTATTCTGTCGGCTTTCATTCTTCAGGGCTGTTGTCTTCTGTTGGCTTTCATTCTTCACGCTTGTTGTCTTCTGTCGGCTTTCATTCTTCAGGGCTGTTGTCTTCTGTTGGCTTTCATTCTTCAGGCTTATTTGTCTTCTGTTGGCTTTTCATTCTTCAGGGCTGTTGTCTTCTGTTGGCTTTCATTCTTCAGGGCGTCTTGCTTTCAGTCTTCTGTCGGCTTTTCATTCTTAAATTTTCAGTCTTCTGTCTGCATTCATTCTTCAGTTCTGTTGTCTTCTGTTGGCTTTCATTCAGGGCTGTTGTCTTCTGTTGGCTTTCATTCTTCAGGGCTGTTGTCTTCTGTTGTTGGCTTTCATTCTTTCCCGCTTGTTGTATTCTGTCGGCTTTCATTCTTCAGGGCTGTTGTCTTCTGTTGGCTCTTTCTTCACGCTTGTTGTCTTCTGTCGGCTTTCATTCTTCAGGTCTGGCTTCTTCCTGTTGGCTTTCATTCATCGCTTGTTGTCTTCAGGGCTTTCATTCTTGTGTTGTCTTCGTTGGCTTTTCCATTCTTTCAGGGCTGTTGTATTCTGTTGGCTTTCATTCTTCACGCTTGTTGTCTTCTCGTTGGCTTTCATTCTTCAGGCCTGTTGTCTTCTGTTGGCTTTCATTCTTCAGGGCTGTTGTCTTCTGTTGGCTTTCATTCTTCACGCTTGTTGTCTTCTGTCGGCTTTCATTCTTCAGGCCTGTTGTCTTCTGTTTGGCTTTCATTCTTCCATTATTCATTCTTCAGGGCTTGTTGTATTCTGCTTGTTGTCTTCTGTGTCTTTCATTCTTCAGGGCTGTTGTTGTCTTCTGTTGGCTTTCATTCTTCACGCTTGTTGTGTTGTCTTGTTGGCTTTTTCATTCTTCAGGTCTGTTGTCTTCGTTGGCTTTCATTCTTCACGTTGTCTTCTGTTGCTTCATTCTTCTTGTTGTCTTCGGCTTTCATTCTTCAGCTGTTGTCTTCTGTTGGCTTTCATCTTTCAGGGCTGTTGTTGTCTTCTGTTGGCTTTCATTCTTCACGCTTGTTGTCTTCTGTGCTCTTCAGGGTGTCTTCTGTCTTTCATTCTTCAGCTGTTGTCTTCTGTCTGCATTCATTCATCAGTTTGTTGTCTTCTGTTGGCTTTCATTCTTCACGCTTGTCTTCTGTCTTCTTGTTGTTGTATTCTGTCGGCTTTTCATTCTTCAGTCTTCTGTTGCTTTCATTCTTTGTTGTCTTTTCATTCATTCTTCAGGCTTGTTGTATTCTTGGCTTTCATTCATCACCTTGTTTCATTCTTCAGGGCTGTTGTCTTCTGTTGGCTTTTCATTCTTCACGCTTGTTGTATTCTCTGTCCTTTCATTCTTCAGGTCTGTTGTCTTCTGTTGGCTTTCATTCTTCACGCTTTGTTGTCTTCTGTTGGCTTTCATTCTTCAGGGCTGTTTGTCTTCTGTTGGCTTTCATTCTTCACGCTTGTTGTCTCTGTCGGCTTTCATTCTTCAGGCCTGTTGTCTTCTATGGTTGGCTTTACATTCTTCAGGGCTATTGTCTTCTGTTGGCTTTCATTCTTCAGAACTGTTGTCTTCTGTTGGCTTTCATTCTCTTCACGCTTGTTGTCTTCTGTCGGCTTTCTTTCAATTTTCAGGCTTCTGTTGGCTTTCATTCTTCCTGTTGTATTCTGTCGGCTTTCATTCTTTAGGGCTGTTGTCTTTGTTGGCTTTTCATTCTTCAGGCTGTTGTTGTTCTTTTCATTGTTGGCTTTCATCTTTCTTCACGCTTGTTGTCTTCTGTCGGCTTTCTTCTTTAGGCCTGTTGTCTTCTGTTGGCTTTCATTCTTGGTTGTCTTGTTGGCTTTCATTCTTCCAGGGCGTAACTTTGTTGCTTTCATTCTTCCTTGTTGTCTTCTGTCGCTTTCATTTTTAGGCCTGTTGTCTTCTTGTTGGCTTTCATTCTTCAGTGGCTGTTGTCTTCTGTTGGCTTTCATTCTTCAGGTCTGTTGTCTTCTGTTAGCTTTCCCTTCACGCTTGTTGTCTTCATCGGCTTTCATTCTTCAGGGCTGTTGTCTTCATTCATTCTTCAGGCTTGTTGTATTCTGTTGGCTTTCATTCTTCAGGGTTGTTGTCTTCTGTTGGCTTTCATTCTTCAGGGCTTGTTGTCTTCTGTTGGCTTTTTTCATTCTTCAGGGCTGTTGTCTTCTGTTGGCTATTCATTCTTCCTTGTTGTCTTCTGTCGGCTTTTCATTCTTCAGGCCTGTTGTCTTTGGCATCATTCTGCTTGTTGTCTTCTTTTAGCTTTCATTCTTCAGGGCTGTTGTCTTCTGTTGGCTTTCATTCTTCAGCTTTGTTGTATTCTGTCGGCTTTCATTCCTTCAGGGCTGTTGTCTTCTGTTGGCTTTCATTCTTCCTTGTTGTCTTCTGTCGGCTTTCATTCTTCAGGCCTGTTGTCTTCTGTTGGCTTTCATTCTTCAGGTCTGTTGTCTTCTGTTGGCTTTCATTCTTCACGCTTGTTGTCTTCTGTCGGCTTTCATTCTTCCAGGGCTGTTTATTCTGGTGCTTTCATTATTCTTGTTGTATTCTGTGGCTTTCATTCTTCGGGCTGTTGTCTTCTATTTGGCTTTTCATTCTTTTTGTTGTCTTCTGTCGGCTTTCATTCTTCAGGGCTGTTGTCTTCTGTTGGCTTTCATTCTTCACTTGTTGTCTTCTGTTGGCTTTCATTCTTCAGGGCTGTTGTTGTCTTCTGTGGCTTTTCATTCTTCAGTTTGTTATTTGTCTGTCGTTGCTTTCATTCTTCAGGCCTGTTGTCTTCTGTTGGCTTTTCATTTCTTCAGGGCTGTTGTCTTCTGTCTACATTCATTCTTCAGGGCTGTTGTCTTCTGTTGGCTTTCATTCATCACGCTTGTTGTCTTCTGTCGGCTTTCATTCTTCAGGGTCTTCTGTTGTTTCATTCTTCTTGTTGGTTTTCATTCTTCAGTTTGTTGTCTTCTGTTGGCTTTCATTCTTCTGTCTGTCAGCTTTTCATTCTTTAGGGCTGTTGTCTTATTTCTTCATTCATCACGTTGGTCTTCTGTCGGCTTTCATTCTTCAGGGCTGTTGTCTTCTGTTGGCTTTCATTCTTCACGCTTGTTGTATTCTGTTGGCTTTCATTCTTCAGGGCTGTTGTCTTCTGTTGGCTTTTCATTCTTCAGGAATGTTGTCTTCTGTTGCTTTCATTCTTCAGGGCTGTTGTCTTCTGTTGGCTTTCATTCTTCGCTTGTTGTCTTCTGTCGGCTTTCATTCTTCAGGCCTGTTGTCTTCTGTTGGCTTTCATTCTTTGTTCTTCAGGCTTTCATTCTTCAGGGCTGTTGTCTTCTGTTGGCTTTTCATTCTTCAGGGCTGTTGTCTTCTGTCGGCTTTCATTCTTCAGGGCTGTTGTTGTCTTCTGTTGGCTTTCATTCTTCGCTTGTTGTATTTTGTCGGCTTTCATTCTTCAGGGCTGTTGTCTTCTGTTGGCTTTCATTCTTCAGGGCTGTTGTTGTCTTTGTTTTCATTCTTCAAGGGCTGTTGTCTTCTGTTAGCTCATTCTTCACGCTTGTTGTCTTCTGTTGGCTTTCATTTCTTCAGGGCCTGTTGTCTTCTATTTGGCTTTCATTCTTCAGGGCTGTTGTCTTCTATTTGGCTTTCATTCTTCACGCTGTTGTCTTCTGTTGGCTTCATTTTCATCTTCTTCGGCTTTCATTTCTTGGGCCTGTTATTGTCTTCTGTTCTTTCATTCTTCAGGGCTGTTGGCTTTGTCAGCTTTCATTCTTCAGGCCTGTTGTCTTCTGGCTTTCATTCTTCAGGGCTGTTGTCTTCTGTTGGCTTTCATTTCTTCAGGGTTGTCTTCTGTTGGCTTTCATTCTTCACCTTGTTGTCTTCTTCTGTCGGCTTTCATTCTTCAGGCCTGTTGTTTGTCTTCTATTTGGCTTTTCATTCTTCACGCTTGTTGTCTTCTGTTGGCTTTCATTCTTCAGGGCTGTTGTTCTGTTGGCTTTCATTCTTGTTGTTGTCTTCTGTCGGCTTTCATTCTTCAGGCTGTTGTCTTCTGTTGGCTTTCATTCTTCACCTTGTTGTATTCTGTCTATTTTCATTCTTCAGGGCTGTTGTCTTCTTTGGCTTTTTCATTCTTCAGGGCCTGTTGTCTTCTGTTGGCTTTTCATTCTTCAGGGCTGTTGTCTTTATTTGGCTTTTTCATTCTTCACGCTTGTTGTCTTCTGTCAGCTTTCATTCTTCAGGGCTGTTGTCTTCTGTTGGCTTTCATTCTTTCAGGCTGTTGTCTTCTGTTGGCTTTCATTCTTCAGGGCTGTTGTCTTCTGTTGGCTCTTCATTCTTCTGGGCTTTTCATTCTTCAGGGCTGTGTCTTCTGTTGGCTTTCTTCTTCTTGTTGTTGTATTCTGTCGGCTTTCATTCTTCAGGGCTGTTGTCTTCTGTTGCATTCATTCTTCAGGTCTGTTGTCTTCTGTTTGGCTTTCATTCTTCAGGCTGTTGTTGTCTTCTGTTGGCTTTCATTCTTCAGGCTTGTTGTCTTCTGTTGGCTTTTCATTCTTCACGCTTGTTGTCTTCTGTTGGCTTTCATTCTTCAGGGCTGTTGTCTTCTGTTGGCTTTCATTCTTCTCTACGCTTGTTGTCTTCTGTCGGTTTCGCCTTGTGTCTGTTGTCTTCTGTTGGCTTTCATTCATCACGCTTGTTGTCTTCTGTCGGCTTTCACCCTTCAGGCTGTTGTCTTCTGTTGGCTTTCATTCTTCACGTTTGTTGTATTCTGTTTATTTTCATTCTTCTTGTAGGCTGTTGTCTTCTGTTGGCTTTCATTCTTCAGGGCTGTTGTCTTCTGTTGGCTTTCATTCTTCACCTTGTTGTTGTCTTCTGTCGGCTTTCATTCTTCAGGCCTGTTGTCTTCTGTTGGCTTTCATTCTTCAGGGCTGTTGTCTTCTGTTGGCTTTCATTCTTCAGGGCTGTTGTCTTCTGTTGGCTTTCATTCTTCAGGGCTGTTGTCTTCTGTTGGCTTTCATTCTTCACGCTTGTTGTCTTCTGTCGGCTTTCATTCTTCAGGCCTGTTGTCTTCTGTTGGCTTTCATTCTTCTGTTGTCTTGTTGGCTTTCATTCATCACGCTTATTGTCTTCTCTTTCATTCTTCAGGGTTGTTGTCTTCTGTTGGCTTTCTTCTTTCAGGGCTGTTGTCTTCTGTTGGCTTTCATTCTTCACTTGTTGTCTTCTGTCGGCTTTCATTCTTCACGCTTGTTTGTCTTCTGTTGCTTTCATTCTTGGCTTTGTCTTCTGTTGGCTTTCATTCATTTCAGGGCTGTTGTCTTCTGTCGGCTTTCATTCTTCAGGGCTGTTGTCTTCTGTTGGCTTTCATTCTTCACGCTTGTTGTCTTCTGTTGGCTTTCATTCTTCAGGGCTGTTGTCTTCTGTTGGCTTTTTTCATTCTTCTGTTCTTTCATTCTTTGTTGTCTTCTGTTGGCTTTCATTCTTCAGGCTTGTTGTCTTCTGTCGGCTTTCATTCTTCAGGGCTGTTGTCTTCTGTTGGCTTTCATTCTTCAGGGCTGTTGTCTTCTCTTGGCTTTCATTCTTCACGCTTGTTTGTCTTCTGTTGTTTTCATTCTTCAGGTGTTGTCTTCTGTTGGCTTTCATTCTTCAGGGCTGTTGTCTTCTGTTGGCTTTCATTCTTCAGGCTTGTTGTCTTCTGTTGGCTTTCATTCTTCAGGGCTGTTGTTCTTCTGTTGGCTTTCATTCTTCAGGCTTGTTGTCTTCTGTCGGCTTTCATTCTTCAGGGCTGTTGTCTTCTGTTGGCTTTCATTCTTCACGCTTGTTGTCTTCTGCTGCTTTTCCTTCTTAGGGTCTTTGTCTTCTCGTTGGCTTTCATTCTTCCAGGGCTGTTGTCTTCTGTTGGCTTTCATTCTTCAGGGCTGTTGTCTTCTGTTGGCTTTTCATTCTTCACGTTCTGTTGTCTTCTGTTGGCTTTTCATTCTTTCAGGGCTTGTTGTCTTCTGTTGGCTTTTCATTCTTCAGGGCTGTTGTCTTCTGTTGGCTTTCATTCTTCAGGGCTGTTGTCTTCTGTTGGCTTTCATTCTTCGCTTGTTGTCTTCTGTCGGCTTTCATTCTTCAGGGCTGTTGTCTTCTGTTGGCTTTCATTCTTCACGCTTGTTGTCTTCTGTCGGCTTTCATTCTTCAGGTCTGTTGTCTTCTGTTGGCTTTCATTCTTCCTGTCTGTTGTCCTTCTGTTGTCAGCTTTCATTCTTCAGGGCTGTTGTCTTCTGTGGCTTTCATTCTTCAGGGCTGTTGTCTTCTGTTGGCTTTTCATTCTTTCAGGCTATTTGTCTTCTGTGTCTTTCATTCTTCAGGGCTGTTGTCTTCTTTTGTCTTTTTCATTCTTCAGGGCTGTTTGTCTTCTGTTGGCTTTCATTCTTCCAGGGCTGTTGTCTTCTGTCTTCTGTCTTCTGTTGGCTTTCATTCTTCAGGCCTGTTGTCTTCTGTGCTTTCATTCTTCAGGGCCTGTTGTCTTCTATTTTTCATTCTTCTTCAGGGCTGTTGTCTTCTGTTGCTTTCATTCTTCCTTTATTGTCTTCTGTGGCTTTTTCATTCTTCAGGGCTGTTGTCTTCTGTTGGCTTTCATTCTTCACGCTTGTTGTCATTCTGTCGGCTTTCTGTGGCTTTCTTTCAGGCTTGTTGTCTTCTGTTGGCTTTTTCATTCTTTCAGGGCTGTTGTCTTCTGTTGGCTTTCATTCTTCCAGGTCTGTTGTCTTCTGTTGGCTTTCATTCTTCACGCTTGTTGTCTTCTGTGGCTTTTCATTCTTCAGGGCTGTTGTCTTCTGGTTGGCTTTCATTCTTCAGGGCTTTTGTTGTCTTCTGTTGGCTTTCATTCTTCATCTGTTGTCTTTGTTGTCTTCTGTCGCTTTCATTCTTCAGGGCTGTTGTCTTCTGTTGGCTTTCATTCTTCCAGGTCTTGTTGTATTCTGTTGGCTTTTCATTCTTCAGGGGTTTGTTGTCTTCTGTTGTTGTCTTCTTTCATTCTTCAGGCTGTTTCTTCTGTTGTCTTCTGTTGTTATCTTCTGTCGGCTTTCATTCTTCAGGGGCTGTTGTTGTCTTCTGTTGGCTTTCATTCTTCAGGGCTTGTTGTCTTCTGTCGGCTTTCATTCTTCAGGGCTGTTGTCTTCTGTTGGCTTTCATTCTTCAGGGCTGTTGCTTTCTTCTTGTTGGCTTTCATTCTTCATTCTTGTTGTCTTCTGTTGGCTTTCATTCTTCATTCTTCATAGGTCTGTTGTCTTCTGTTGGCTTTCATTCTTCTGTTGTCTTTTGTTGTCTTCACGCTTGTTGTTGTCGGCTTTCATTCTTCCAGGGCTGTTGTTGTCTTCTGTTGGCTTTCATTCTTCAGGGTATTTTGTCTTCTGTTGCTGTTTCATTCTTCTTCAGGGCTGTTCTTCTTGTGGCTTTCATTCTTGTCTTCTTTGTCATTCTTGCTTGTATTCATTTCTGTCAGGCCTGTTGGTCTTCTGTTGGCTTTCATTCTTCAGGGCTTGTTGTCTTCTGTTGGCTTTCATTCTTCAGGGCTGTTGTCTTCTGTTGGCTTTCATTCTTCACGCTTGTTGTCTTCTGTCGGCTTTCATTCTCCTTCAGGGCTGTTGTCTTCTGTTGGCTTTCATTCTTCACGCTTGTTGTCTTCTGTTTCAGCTTTCATTCTTCAGGGCTGTTGTCTTCTGTTGGCTTTCATTCTTTCAGGGGCTGTTGTCTTCTGTTGGCTTTCATTCTTTTCAGGGCTGTTGTCTTCTGTTGGCTGTTCTTTTTGTCTTCTGTTCTTTCATTCTTCAGGCCTTTTGTCTTCTGTTGGCTTTCATTCTTCAGGGCTGTTGTCTTCTGTTGGCTTTCATTCTTCCAGGGCTGTTGTCTTCTTCTTTGGCTTTCATTCTTCAGGGCTTGTTGTCTTCTGTCGGCTTTCATTCTTCAGGCCTGTTGTCTTCTGTTGGCTTTCATTCTTCAGGGCTGTTGTCTTCTGTTGGCTTTCATTCTTCAGGGCTGTTGTCTTCTGTTGGCTTTCATTCTTCAGGGCTGTTGTCTTCTGTCGGCTTTTCATTTTCCAGGCTGTTGTCTTCTATTCAGCTTTCATTCTTCAGGGCTGTTGTCTTCTGTTGGTTTTCATTCTTCAGGGCTGTTGTCTTCTATTTGGCTTTCATTCTTCAGGGCTGTTGTCTTCTGTGTTGGCTTTTCATTCTTCAGGGCTGTTGTCTTCTGTTGGCTTTCATTCTTCACGCTTGTTGTCTTCTGTTGTTGCTTTCTTTCATTCTTCCAGGGCTGTTGTCTTCTGTTGGCTTTTCATTCTTCAGGGCTGTTGTCTTCTTTGGCTTTCATTCTTCAGGGTTGTCTTCTGTCGGCTTTCATTCTTCAGGGCTGTTGTCTTCTGTTGGCTTTCATTCTTCACGCTTGTTGTCTTCTGTCGGCTTTCGTTCTTCTGTTGTCTTCTTGTTTTTCATTCTTCAGGGCTGTTGTCTTCTGTTGGCTTTCATTCTTCAGGGCTGTTGTCTTCTGTTGGCTTTCATTCTTCACGCTTGTTGTCTTCTGTCGGCTTTCATTCTTCAGGCCTGTTGTCTTCTTTGGCTTTCATTCTTCAGGGCTGTTGTCTTCTGTTGAAACCATTCTTCAGGTTGTTGTCTTCTGTTGGCTTTCATTCTTCAGGCTTGTTGTCTTCTGTCGGCTTTCATTCTTCAGGCTTTTCATTCTTCAGGGCTGTTGTCTTCTGTTGGCTTTCATTCTTCAGGGCTGTTGTCTTCTGTTGGCTTTCATTCTTCACGGTTGTCTTCTGTCGGCTTTCATTCTTCAGGGCTGTTGTCTTCTGTTGGCTTTCATTCTTCCTTGTTTATCTTCTGTCGGCTTTCATTCTTCAGGGCTGTTGTCTTCTGTTGGCTTTTCATTCTTCAGGGCTGTTGTCTTCTATTTCATTCTTCTGTTGTCTTTATTTCATTCTTCCTTTTCTTCTTGCTTTCATTCTTCAGGCCTGTTTCATTAGCTTTCATTCTTCAGGGCTGTTGTCTTCTTCTTGGCTTTTCATTCTCAGGGCTATTTGTCTTCTGTTGGCTTTCATTCTTCACGCTTATTTGTCTTCTGTCGGCTTTCATTCTTCAGGGCTGTTGTCTTCTGTTGGCTTTTCATTCTTCACGCTTATTTGTCTTCTGTCGGCTTTCATTCTTCCAGGGCTTTTGTCTTCTGTTGGCTTTTCATTCTGTTATTGTCTTCTTATTTTTCATTCTTCCAGTGTGTCTTCTGTTGTCTTTCATTCTTCACTTGTTATCTTCTGTTGGCTTTCATTCTTAAGACTGTTGTCTTCTGTTGGCTTTCATTCTTCAGGGCTGTTGTCTTCTGTCTGCTTTCATTCTTCAGGTCTGTTGTCTTCTGTTGGCTTTTTCATTCTTCAGGTCTTCTGTTGTCTTCTGTTGGCCTTTCATTCTTCAGGGCTGTTGTCTTCTGTTGGCTTTTCATTCTTCACGCTTGTTGTCTTCTGTTGGCTTTCATTCTTCAGGGTTGTTGTCTTCTGTTGGCTTTCATTCTTCAGGCCTGTTGTCTTCTGTTGGCTTTTCATTCTTCAAGGGCTGTTGTCTTCTGTTGGCTTTCATTCTTTCAGGCTATTGTCTTCTGTTGGCTTTCATTCTTCAGGGCTGTTGTCTTCTGTTGGCTTTCATTCTTCACGCTTATTTGTATTCTGTCGGCTTTTCATTCTTCAGGGGCTGTTGTCTTCTGTTGGCTTTCATTCTTCAGGGCTGTTGTCTTCTGTTGGCTTTTTCATTCTTCATTCTTCTGTTGGCTTTCATTCTTCCTTGTTGTCTTCTGTTGGCTTTCATTCTTCAGGCCTGTTGTCTTCTGTTGGCTTTTCATTCTTCAGGGCTGTTGTCTTCTGTTGGCTTTCATTCTTCAGGGCTGTTGTCTTCTGTTGGCTTTCATTCTTCACGCTTGTTGTCTTCTGTTATTTTCATTCTTCAGGGCTTTGTCTTCTGTTGCTTTTTCATTCTTCAGGCCTGTTGTCTTTTGTCGGCTTTCATTCTTCAGGGCTGTTGTCTTTGTTGGCTTATTCTTCTGTCTTCTGTGTTTTCTTCTTCAGGGCTGTTGTCTTCTGTTGGCTTTCATTCTTCAGGGTTGTTGTCTTCTGTTGGCTTTCATTCTTCAGGGCTTTTTGTCTTCTGTTGGCTTTCATTCTTCGCTTGTTGTCTTCTATCGGCTTTCATTCTTCATTCTGTTGTCTTCTGTTGGCTTTCATTCTTCACGGCTGTTGTCTTCTGTTGGCTTTTCATTCTTCAGGATGTTGTCTTCTGTTGGCTTTCATTCTTCTTGTTGTTGTCTTCATTTGTTGGCTTTCATTCTTCTTAGGGCTGTTGTCTTCTGTTGGCTTTCATTCTTCAGGCTGTTGTCTTCTGTTGGCTTTCATTCTTCATGGCTGTTGTCTTCTGTCGGCCATTCTTCAGGGCTGTTGTCTTCTGTTGCTTTCATTCTTCACGCTTTGTTGTATTCTGTTGGCTTTCATTCTTTACGGCTGTTGTCTTCTATTTGGCTTTCATTCTTCAGGGCTGTTGTCTTCTGTTGGCTTTCATTCTTCAGGGCTGTTGTCTCTTGTTGGCTTTCATTCTTCAGGGTTGCTTTTTTGTTCTGTTGGCTTTCATTCTTCACGGATGTTGTCTTCTGTTGGCTTTCATTCTTCAGGGCTGTTGTATTCTGTTGGCTTTCATTCTTCACGCTTTGTTGTATTCTGTCGGCTTTCATTCTTCAGGGCTGTTGTCTTCTGTTGGCTTTCATTCTTCAGGGCTGTTGTCTTCGTTGGCTTTCATTCTTCCTTGTTGTCTTCATCAGCTTTCAGGGCTGTTGTCTTCTGTTGGCTTTCATTCTTCAGGGCTGTTGTCTTCTGTTGGCTTTCATTCTTCAGGGCTGTTGTCTTCTGTTGGCTTTCATTCTTCAGGCTTGTTGTCTTCTGTTGGCTTTCATTCTTCAGGGCTGTTGTCTTCTGTTGGCTTTCATTCTTCTTCAGGCTTGTTGTCTTCGTCGGCTTTCATTCTTCAAGGGCTGTTGCTTCGTTGGCTTTCTGTTCTTCGCTTGTTGTCTTCTGTCGGCGCTTTCATTCTTCAGGGCTGTTGTCTTCTGTTATTTTCATTCTTCACGCTTGTTGTCTTCTCTGTCGGCTTTCATTCTTCAGGACTGTTGTCTTCTGTTGGCTTTCATTCTTCAGGGTTGTTGTCTTCTGTTGGCTTTCATTCTTCAGGGCTGTTGTCTTTGTTGCTTTTCATTCTTCAGGGTTGTTGTCTTCGTTGTCTTCTGTTGTTGCTTTGTTTCTTTCAGGGGTCTTCTGTTGGCTTTCATTCTTCAGGGCTGTTGTCTTCTGTTGGCTTTCATTCTTCAGGTTGTTGTTTGTTGGCTTTATTCCCTCACGCTTGTTGTCTTCTGTCGGCTTTTCATTCTTCAGGGCTGTTGTCTTCTGTTGGCTTTCATTCTTCCCTTTGTTGTATTCTGTCGGCTTTCATTCTTTCAGGGCCTGTTGTCTTAGGGCTTTCATTCTTCAGGTCTGCTTGTCTTCTGTTGGCTTTCATTCTTCAGCGCTGCTTGTCTTCTGTTGTTTTCATTCTTCACGTTTGTTGTCTTCTGTCAGCTTTCATTCTTCAGGCCTGTTGTCTTCTGTTGGCTTTCATTCTTCAGGGCTGTTGTCTTGTGTTTTTTCATTCTTCAGGCTGTCTTCTGTTGGCTTTCATTCTTCCCTTTTGTTGTCTTCTGTCATTTCATTCTGAGCCTATTTGTCTTCTGTTGGCTTTCATTCTTCACGCCGCTGTTGTATTCTGTCGGCTTTTCATTCTTCAGGGCTGTTGTCTTCTGTTGGCTTGTTGTCTTCTGTCATTTCATTCTTCCAGCCTGTTGTGTTCTGTTGGCTTTCATTCTTTAGGAGGCCTGTTGTCTTCTGTTGGCTTTCATTCTTCAGGGTCTTCTGTTGGCTTTCATTTCTGTTGTCTTTTCATTTCTTCAGGGCTGTTGTCTCCTGTTGGCTTTCATTCTTCTTGTTGTCTTGTCGGCTTTCATTCTTCAGGCCTGTTTTTCTTCTGTTAGCTTTCATTATTCAGGGCTGTTGTACTGTGCTTTTCATTCTTCAGGGCTGTTGTCTTCTGTTGCTTCATTCTTCACGCTTGTTGTCTTCTCGGCTTTCATTCTTCAGGGCTGTTGTCTTCTGTTGGCTTTCATTCTTCACGCTTGTTGTCTTCTGTCGGCTTTCATTCTTCAGGGCTGTTGTCTTCTGTTGGCTTTCATTCTTCAGGCTTGTTGTCTTCTGTAGGCTTTCATTCTTCAGGGCTGTTGTCTTCTGTTGGCTTTCATTCTTCAGGGCTGTTGTCTTCTGTTGGCTTTCATTCTTCAGGGCTGTTGTCTTCTGTTGGCTTTCATTCTTCAGGCTGTTTGTTGTCATTCTTCTGTTGTCTTTCTTTCATTCTTCACGCTTGTTGTCTTCTGTCGGCTTTTCATTCTTCAGGGCTGTTGTCTTCTGTTGTTGGCTTTCATTCTTCAGGCTTGTTGTCTTCTGTTGGCTTTCATTCTTCAGGGCTGTTGTCTTCTGTTGGCTTTCATTCTTCAGGCTTGTTGTCTTCTGTTGGCTTTCATTCTTTCAGGCTTGTTGTCTTCTGTCGGCTTTCATTCTTCAGGGCTGTTGTCTTCTGTTGGCTTTCATTCTTCACGCTTGTTGTCTTCTGTCGGCTTTCATTCTTCAGGGCTGTTGTCTTCTGTTGGCTTTCATTCTTCAGGGCTGTTGTCTTCTGTTGGCTTTCATTCTTCACGCTTGTTGTCTTCTGTCGGCTTTCATTCTTCAGGGCTGTTGTCTTCTGTTGGCTTTCATTCTTCAGGGCTGTTGTCTTCTGTTGGCTTTCATTCTTCAGCTTGTTGTCTTCTGTCGCTTTTTCATTCTTCAGGGCTGTTGTCTTCTGTTGGCTTTCATTCTTGGGGCTTGTTGTCTTCTGTCGGCTTTCATTCTTCAGGGCTGTTGTCTTCTGTTGGCTTTCATTCTTCAGGCTTGTTGTCTTCTGTCGGCTTTCATTCTTCAGGGCTTGTTGTCTTCTTCTGTTGGCTTTCATTCTTCAGGCTTGTTGTCTTCTGTCGGCTTTCATTCTTCAGGGCTGTTGTCTTCTGTTGGCTTTCATTCTTCAGGGCTGTTGTCTTCTGTTGGCTTTCATTCTTCACGCTTGTTGTCTTCTGTCGGCTTTCATTCTTCAGGGCTGTTGTCTTCTGTTGGCTTTCATTCTTCACGCTTGTTGTCTTCTGTCGGCTTTTCATTCTTCAGGGCTGTTGTCTTCTGTTGGCTTTTTTTCATTCTTCAGGGCTGTTGTCTTCTGTTGGCTTTCATTCTTCAGGGCTGTTGTCTTCTGTTGGCTTTCATTCTTCACGCTTGTTGTCTTCTGTCGGCTTTCATTCTTCAGGTCTGTTGTCTTCTGTTGGCTTTCATTCATCACGCTTGTTGTCTTCTGTCGGCTTTCATTCTTCAGGGCTGTTGTCTTCTGTTGGCTTTCATTCTTCACGCTTGTTGTATTCTGTCGGCTTTCATTCTTCAGGGCTGTTGTCTTCTGTTGGCTTTCATTCTTCAGGGCTGTTGTCTTCTGTTGGCTTTCATTCTTCAGGGCTGTTGTCTTCTGTTGGCTTTCATTCTTCACGCTTGTTGTCTTCTGTTGGCATTTTTCATTCTTCAGGGCTGTTGTCTTCTGTTGGCTTTCATTCTTCTGTTGTCTTGGCTTTCATTCTTCAGGGCTGTTGTCTTCTGTTGGCTTTCATTCTTCACGCTTGTTGTCTTCTGTCGGCTTTCATTCTTCAGGGGCTTCTGTTGTCTTCTGTTGGCTTTCATTCTTCAGGTTGTCTTCTTGTTGTCTTCTGTTGGCTTTCATTCTTCAGGGCTGTTGTCTTCTGTTGGCTTTCATTCTTCACGCTTGTTGTCTTCTGTTGGCTTTCATTCTTCACGCTTGTTGTCTTCTGTCGGCTTTCATTCTTCAGGGCTGTTGTCTTCTGTTGGCTTTCATTCTTCAGGGCTGTTGTCTTCTGTTGGCTTTCATTCTTCACGCTTGTTGTCTTCTGTCGGCTTTCATTCTTCACGCTTGTTGTCTTCTGTCGGCTTTCATTCTTCAGGTCTGTTGTCTTCTGTTGGCTTTCATTCTTCAGGGCTGTTGTCTTCTGTTGCTTTCATTCTTCAGGCTTGTTGTCTTCTGTTGGCTTTCATTCTTCAGGGCTGTTGTCTTCTGTTTGGCTTTCATTCTTCAGGGCTGTTGTCTTCTGTTGGCTTTCATTCTTCAGGGCTTGTTGTCTTCTGTCGGCTTTCATTCTTCAGGCTTGTTGTCTTCTGTCGGCTTTCATTCTTCAGGCCTGTTGTCTTCTGTTGGCTTTCATTCTTCAGGGCTGTTGTCTTCTGTTGGCTTTCATTCTTCACGCTTGTTGTCTTCTGTCGGCTTTCATTCTTCAGGGCTGTTGTCTTCTGTTGGCTTTCATTCTTCACGCTTGTTGCTTTCATTCTTCTGTTGTCTTCTGTTGGCTTTCATTCTTCAGGGCTGTTGTCTTCTGTTGGCTTTCATTTTTCAGGGCTGTTGTCTTCTGTTGGCTTTTCATTCTTCAGGGCTTGTTGTCTTCTGTTGGCTTTCATTCTTCAGGGCTGTTGTCTTCTGTTGGCTTTCATTCTTGCCTGTTGTCTTGTTGGCTTTCATTCTTCAGGCTTGTTGTCTTCATTCTTGTCGGCTTTCATTCTCGGCTTTTTCACGCTTGTTGTCTTCTGTCGGCTTTCATTCTTCAGGGCTGTTGTCTTCTGTTGGCTTTCATTCTTCAGGGCTGTTGTCTTCTGTTGGCTTTCATTCTTTCTTCTGTCGGCTTTCATTCTTCAGGCCTGTTGTCTTCTGTTGGCTTTCATTCTTCACGCTTGTTGTGTTTCTTGTCGGCTTTCATTCTTCAGGCTTGTTGTCTTCTGTTGGCTTTCATTCTTCAGGGCTGTTGTCTTCTGTTGGCTTTCATTCTTCAGGGCTGTTGTCTTCTGTTGGCTTTCATTCTTCAGGGCTGTTGTCTTCTGTTGGCTTTCATTCTTCAGGGCTGTTGTCTTCTGTTGGCTTTCATTCTTCACGCTTGTTGTCTTCTGTCGGCTTTCATTCTTCAGGGCTGTTGTCTTCTGTTGGCTTTCATTCTTCACGCTTGTTGTCTTCTGTCGGCTTTCATTCTTCAGGGCTGTTGTCTTCTGTTGGCTTTCATTCTTCACGCTTGTTGTCTTCTGTTGGCTTTCATTCTTCAGGGCTGTTGTCTTCTGTTGGCTTTCATTCTTCAGGGCTGTTGTCTTTGTTGGCTTTTCATTTCTGTCTTCTGTCGGCTTTCATTCTTCAGGGCTGTTGTCTTCTGTCTGCTTTTCATTCTTCACTTCTTTTGTTGTCTTCTGTCGGCTTTCATTCTTCAGGCTGTTGTCTTCTGTTGGCTTTCATTCTTCACGCTTGTTGTCTTCTGTCGGCTTTCATTCTTCAGGGCTGTTGTCTTCTGTTGGCTTTCATTCTTCAGGGCTGTTGTCTTCTGTTGGCTTTCATTCTTCAGGGCTGTTGTCTTCTGTTGGCTTTCATTCTTCACGCTTGTTGTATTCTGTCGGCTTTCATTCTTCAGGGCTGTTGTCTTCTGTTGGCTTTCATTCTTCACGCTTGTTGTCTTCTGTCGGCTTTCATTCTTCAGGCTGTTGTCTTCTGTTGGCTTTCATTCTTTCTGTTGTCTTCTGTTGGCTTTCATTCTTCAGGGCTGTTGTCTTGTTGCTTTTTCATTCTTCAGGCTTGTTGTATTCTGTCGGCTTTCATTCTTCAGGGCTGTTGTCTTCTGTTGGCTTTCATTCTTCAGGGCTGTTGTCTTCTGTTGGCTTTCATTCTTCAGGGCTGTTGTCTTCTGTTGGCTTTCATTCTTCACGCTTGTTGTCTTCTGTCGGCTTTCATTCTTCAGGCCTGTTGTCTTCTGTTGGCTTTCATTCTTCAGGGCTGTTGTCTTCTGTTGGCTTTCATTCTTCAGGGCTGTTGTCTTCTGTTGCTTTCATTCTTCTGTCTTCTGTTGGCTTTCATTCTTCAGGGCTTGTTGTCTTCTGTTGGCTTTCATTCTTCTAGGCTTGTTGTCTTCTGTTGGCTTTCATTCTTCAGGGCTTGTTGTCTTCTGTCGGCTTTCATTCTTCAGGGCTGTTGTCTTCTGTTGGCTTTCATTCTTCTTCAGGGCTGTTGTTCTGTTGGCTTTCATTCTTCACGCTTGTTGTCTTCTGTCGGCTTTCATTCTTCAGGGCTGTTGTCTTCTGTTGGCTTTCATTCTTCAGGGCTTGTTGTCTTCTGTCGGCTTTCATTCTTCAGGCTTGTTGTCTTCAGGGCTTTCATTCTTGCTTGTTGTCTTCTGTTGGCTTTCATTCTTCAGGGCTGTTGTCTTCTGTTGGCTTTCATTCTTCAGGCTTGTTGTCTTCTGTTGGCTTTCATTCTTCAGGGCTGTTGTCTTCTGTTGGCTTTCATTCTTCAGGCTTGTTGTCTTCTGTCTTTTCATTCTTCAGGGCTGTTGTCTTCTGTTGGCTTTCATTCTTCACGCTTGTTGTCTTCTGTCGGCTTTCATTCTTCAGGGCTGTTGTCTTCTGTTGGCTTTCATTCTTCAGGGCTGTTGTCTTCTGTTGGCTTTCATTCTTCAGGGCTGTTGTCTTCTGTTGCTTTCATTCTTCTTGTTGTCTTCTGTCGGCTTTTCATTCTTCAGGGCTGTTGTCTTCTGTTGGCTTTCATTCTTCAGGGCTGTTGTCTTCTGTTGCTTTCATTCTTCACGCTTGTTGTCTTCTGTCGGCTTTCATTCTTCAGGGCTGTTGTCTTCTGTTGGCTTTCATTCTTCAGGCTTGTTGTCTTCTGTTGGCTTTCATTCTTCTTGTTGTCTTCTGGGCTTTCATTCTTCAGGGCTGTTGTCTTCTGTTGGCTTTCATTCTTCAGGTCTTGTTGTCTTCTTCTTTTCATTCTTCAGGGCTTGTTGTCTTCTGTTGGCTTTCATTCTTCAGGGCTGTTGTCTTCTGTTGGCTTTTCATTCTTCAGGGCTGTTGTCTTCTGTTGGCTTTCATTCTTCACGCTTGTTGTCTTCTGTCGGTTTTCATTCTTCAGGGCTGTTGTCTTCTGTTGGCTTTCATTCTTCAGGGCTGTTGTCTTCTGTTGGCTTTCATTCTTCAGGGCTGTTGTCTTCTGTTGGCTTTCATTCTTCAGGCTGTTGTCTTCTGTTGGCTTTCATTCTTCAGGGCTGTTGTCTTCTGTTGGCTTTCATTCTTCAGGGCTGTTGTCTTCTGTTGGCTTTCATTCTTCACGCTTGTTGTCTTCTGTTGGCTTTCATTCTTCAGGGCTGTTGTCTTCTGTGGCTTTCATTCTTTCATTGTTGTCTTCTGTTGCTTTCATTCTTTCTGTTGTCTTTTCATTCTTCAGGGCTGTTGTCTTCTGTTGGCTTTCATTCTTCAGGGCTGTTGTCTTCTGTTGGCTTTCATTCTTCAGGGCTTGTTGTCTTCTGTTGGCTTTCATTCTTTCTTCAGGGCTCATTCTTTGTCTTCTGTTGGCTTTCATTCTTCAGGGCTGTTGTCTTCTGTTGGCTTTCATTCTTCAGGGTCTGTTGTCTTCTGTTGGCTTTCATTCTTCAGGGCTGTTGTCTTCTGTTGGCTTTCATTTTCACGCTTGTTGTCTTCTGTCGGCTTTTCATTCTTTTCAGGGTTGTTGTCTTCTGTCTGCTTTATTTTCAGGGCTGTTGTCTTCGTTGGTTTTCATTCTTTGCCGCTGTTGTCTTCTGTTTGCTTTCATTCTTCTGTGATCTGTTGTTGTCTTCTGTTGGCTTTCTTTATTCATCACGCTGCTTGTTGTCTTCTGTCGGCTTTCATTCTTCAGGGCTGTTGTTCTTGTTGGCTTTTCATTCTCATTGCCGCCATGTATTCTGTCGCTTTCATTCTTCATGTTGTCTTCTATTGGCTTATTCTTCAGGCTGTTGTCTTCTTGTTGGCTTTCACCTTCAGGGCTGTTGTCTTCTGTTGGCTTTCACTCTACACGCTTGTTGTCTTCTGTCATTTTCATTCTTCACGCTGTTGTCTTCTTGTCGGCTTTCATTCTTCAGGGCTGTTGTCTTCGTTGGCTTTCATTCTTTCTTGTGGGTTGTTGTCTTCTTGTTGGCTTTCATTCTTCACGCTTGTCTTCTGTCGGCTTTCATTTTCAGGGTTGTCTTCTATCGGCTTTCATTTTTCAGGCTTGTTGTCTTCTGTTGGCTTTCATTCTTCACGCTTGTTGTCTGTCGGCTTTCATTCTTTGTTGTCTTCTGTCGGCTTTCATTCTTCAGGGCTGTTGTCTTCTGTTGGCTTTTCATTCTTGTTGTCTTCTGTCGGCACCATTCTTAGGGTTGTTATCTTCTGTTGGCTTTCATTCTTCACGCTTTCATTCTTCGGCTGTTTGTCTTCTGTTGGCTTTCATTCTTCATTCTTCAGGGCTGTTGTCTTCTGTTGGGCTTGTTGTCTTCTGTCAGCTTTCATTCTTCTGGGCTGTTGTCTTCTGTTGCTTTCATTCTTCAGGTCTGTTGCTTTCATTCTTGTTGTTGTATTCTGTTCATTCTTCAGGGCCTGTTGTCTTCTTGCTTTCATTCTTCACGCTTGTTGTCGGCTTTTCATTCTTCAGGGCTGTTGTCTTCTGTTGGCTTTCATTCTTCCTTGTTGTCTTTGTGGCTTTCATTCTTTACGCTTGTCTGTCGGCTTTCATTCATTCTTCAGGGCTGTTGTCTTCTGACTTTCATTCTTCAGGGCTGTTGTTTCACTGGCTTTTCTTCACGCTTGTTGTCTTCTGTCGGCTTTCATTCTTCAGGTCTATTTGTCTTCTGTTGGCTTTCATTCTTCAGGGCTTTGTTGCTTTCATTCTTCTTGTTGTCTTCTGTCGGCTTTCATTCTTCAGGCTGTTGTCTTCTGTTGGCTTTTCATTCTTCACGCTTGTTGTCTTCTGTCGGCTTTCATTCTTCAGGGGCTGTTGTCTTCTGGCTTTCATTCTTCAGGCTTGTTGTCTTCTGTTGGCTTTCATTCTTCAGGGCTGTTGTCTTCTTTTTTTGGCTTTCATTCTTCAGGGCTGTTGTCTTCTGTTGGCTTTCATTCTTCAGGGCTGTTGTCTTTATTTGCTTTCATTCTTCACGCTTGTTGCTTCTGTTTCATTCTTCAGGCCTGTTGTCTTCTGTTGGCTTTCATTCTTCAGGCTGTTGTCTTCTGTTGGCTTTCATTCTTCACGCTTGTTGTCTTCTGTGCTTTCATTCTTCACTGGCTTTCCTTTCTTCTTCACGCTTGTTGTCTTCTGTCGGCTTTCATTCTTCAGGGCTGTTGTCTTCTGTTGGCTTTCATTCTTCACGCTTGTTGTCTTCTGTCGGCTTTCATTCTTCAGGGCTGTTGTCTTCTTGGCTTTCATTCTTCAGGGCTTTCATTCTTCATTCTTCACTTGTTGTCTTCTGTCGGCTTTCATTTTTCAGGCTGTTGTCTTCTGTTGGCTTTCATTCTTCAGGGCTTTCATTCTTCACGGCTGTTGTCTTCTGTTGGCTTTCATTCTTCAGGCTTGTTGTCTTCTGTTGGCTTTCATTCTTCAGGGCTGTTGTTGTTGGCTTTCATTCTTGCTGTTGTCTTCTTCATTTTCATTCTTCAGGGCTGTTGTCTTCTGTTGGCTTTCATTCTTCATTGTCTTTGTTGTCTTCTGTCGGCTGTTTCATTCTTCAGGTCATTCTTGCTTATTCTTCTGTTGGCTTTCATTCTTGGGGCTGTTGTCTTCTGTTGGCTTTCATTCTTCCGCTTGTTGTCTTCTGTCGGCTTTCATTCTTCTGGGTATTTGTCTTCTGTTGGCTTTCATTCTTCAGGGCTGTTGTCTTCTGTTAGCTTTCATTCTTCCTTGTTGTCTTCTGTTGGCTTTCATTCTTCACGCTGTTTGTCTTCTGTTGGCTTTCATTCTTAGGGCTGTTGTCTTCTGTTGGCTTTCATTCTTCAGGGCTGTTGTCTTCTGTTGGCTTTTCATTCTTCGCTGTTGTCTTCTGTTGGCTTTCGCTTTCTTTAGGCTGTTGTCTTCTGTCTGGCTTTCATTCTTCCCAGGGCTGTTGTCTTCTGCTTCATTCGGCTTTCATTCTTTCATTCTTACCTTGTTGTCTTCTGTCGGCTTTCATTCTTCAGGGCTGTTGTCTTCTGTTGGCTTTCATTCTTCACGCTTGTTGTCTTCTGTCGGCTTTCATTCTTCAGGGCTGTTGTCTTCTGTTGGCTTTCATTCTTCACGCTTGTTGTCTTCTGTCGGCTTTTCATTCTTCAGGGCTGTTGTCTTCTGTTGGCTTTCATTCTTTCACTTGTTGTCTTCTGTCGGCTTTCATTCTTCAGGGCTGTTGTCTTCCTGTTGGCTTTCATTCTTCACTTGTTGTATTCTGTCGGCTTTCATTCTTCAGGGCTGTTGTCTTCTGTTGGCTTTCATTCTTCACGCTTATTTGTATTTTGTCTTCTGTCCTTCTGTTGGCTTTCATTCTTCAGGGCTGTTGTCTTCTGTTGGCTTTTCATTCTTCACCTTGTCTTCTGTCCTTTCATTCTTCAGGTTTGTTGTCTTCTGTTGGCTTTCATTCTTCAGGGCTGTTGTCTTCTGTTGGCTTTCATTCTTCACGCTTGTTGTCTTCATTCTTCGGGCTGTTTCTTCTGTCTGCTTTGTTGCTATTTGTCTTCTGTTGGCTTTCTTTTCACGCTTGTTTCTTCTGTCGGGCTGTTGTCTTCTTCGTTGGCTTTCATTCTTTCACGCTTGTTGTCTTCTGTCGGCTTTCATTCTTTCAGGCTGTTGTCTTCTGTTGGCTTTCATTCTTCACGCTTGTTGTCTTCTGTTGGCTTTCATTTTCAGGGCTGTTGTCTTCTGTTGGCTTTCATTCTTCAGGGCTGTTGTCTTCTGTTGGCTTTCATTCTTCACTGTTGTCTTCTGTTGGCTTTCATTCTTTGGGCCTGTTGTCTTCTGTTGGCTTTTTCATTCTTCAGGGCTGTTGTCTTCTGTTGGCTTTCATTCTTCAGGGCTGTTGTCTTCTGTCGGCTTTCATTCTTCAGGGCTGTTGTCTTCTGTTGGCTTTCATTATTCACGCTTGTTGTATTCTGTCGGCTTTCATTCTTCAGGGCTGTTGTCTTCTGTTGGCTTTCATTCTTCACGCTTGTTGTCTTCTGTTGGCTTTCATTCTTTACGCTTGTTGTCTTCTGGCTTTCATTCTTCGTTGTCTTCTGTTTCATTCTTCAGGGCTGTTGTCTTCTGTTGGCTTTCATTCTTCAGGGCTGTTGTCTTCTGTTGGCTTTCATTCTTCACGCTTGTTGTCTTCTGTCGGCTTTCATTCTTCAGGGCTGTTGTCTTCTGTCTGCTTTCATTCTTCAGGTCTGTTGTCTTCTGTTGGCTTTCATTCTTCACGCTTGTTGTCTTCTGTCGGCTTTCATTCTTCAGGGCTGTTGTCTTCTGTTGGCTTTCATTCTTCACGCTTGTTGTATTCTGTCGGCTTTCATTCTTCAGGGCTGTTGTCTTCTGTTGGCTTTCATTCTTCACGCTTGTTGTCTTCTGTCGGCTTTCATTCTTCAGGTCTGTTGTCTTCTGTTGGCTTTCATTCATCACGCTTGTTGTCTTCTGTCGCTTTCATTCTTGATTGGCTTTCATTCTTCACGCTTTTGTCTTCTGTCGGCTTTCATTCTTCAGGGCTGTTGTCTTCTGTTGGCTTTTTCATTCTTCAGGCTTGTTGTCTTCTGTTGGCTTTCATTCTTCAGGGCTGTTGTCTTCTGCTTTCAGGTTGTCTTCTGTTGGCTTTCATTCTTCTTATTTGTTGGTCTTCTTTTCATTCTTCCAGGGCTGTTGTCTTCTGTTGGCTTTCATTCTTCCAGGGTTGTTGCTTTCATTCTGTTGTTGCTTTCATTTTCTTCACTGTTGTTGTCTTCTATTTGGCTTTCATTCTTCAGGCTTGTCTGTCGGCTCTTGTCTTCATTCTTCAGGGCTGTTGTCTTCTGTTGGCTTTCATTCTTCAGGGCTGTTGTCTTCTGTTGGCTTTCATTCTTCACGGCTGTTGTCTTCTGTTGGCTTTCATTCTTCAGGGCTGTTGTCTTCTGTTGGCTTTCATTCTTCACGCTTGTTGTCTTCTGTCGGCTTTCATTCTTCAGGCCTGTTGTTGTCTTCTGTTGGCTTTCATTCTTCAGGGCTGTTGTCTTCTGTTTGCTTTCATTATTCACGCTTGTTGTATTCTGTCGGCTTTCATTCTTTGGGGCTGTTGTCTTCTGTTGGCTTTCATTCTTCCCTTGTTGTCTTCTGTCGGCTTTTCATTCTTCAGGCTGTTGTCTTCTGTTGGCTTTCATTCTTCACACTTGTTGTCTTCCTTTGGCTTTTCATTCTTCACGCTTGTTGTCTTCTGTCGGCTTTCATTCTTCAGGGCTGTTGTCTTCTGTTTTCTTTCTTCAGGTATTTGTCTTCTTGGCTTTCATTCTTCGCTTGTTGTCTTCTGTCGGCTTTCATTCTTCAGGCTTGTTGTCTTCTGTTGGCTTTCATTCTTCACGCTTTGTTATTTGTCTTCTGTCGGCTTTCATTCTTCAGGGCTGTTGTCTTCTGTTGGCTTTCATTCACGCTTGTTGTCTTCTGTCGGCTTTCATTCTTCAGGTCTGTCTTCTGTTGGCTTTCATTCTTTACCTTGTTGTCTTCTGTCGGCTTTCATTCTTCAGGGCTGTTGTCTTCTGTTGGCTTTCATTCTTCACGCTTGTTGTTGTCTTCATCGGCTTTCATTCTTCAGGGCTGTTGTCTTCTGTTGGCTTTCATTCTTCACTGTTGTCTTCTGTTGGCTTTCATTCTTCAGGGCTGTTGTCTTCTGTTGGCTTTCATTCTTCAGGGCTGTTGTCTTCTGTCGGCTTTCATTCTTTCTTATTTCTTCTGTTGGTCGGCTTTTCATTCTTCAGGGCTGTTGTCTTCTGTTGCTTTCATTCTTCAGGGCTGTTGTCTTCTGTTGGCTTTCATTCTTCACCTTTGTTGTCTTCTGTCGGCTTTCATTCTTCAGGGCTATTTGTCTTCTGTTGGCTTTCATTCTTCACGCTTGTTGTCTTCTGTGGCTTTCATTCTTCACGCTTGTTGCTTTCATTCTTCAGGGCTATTTGTATTCTGGCTTTCATTCTTCAGGGCTGTTGTCTTCTATTTGGCTTTCATTCTTCAGGGGCTGTTCTTCTTTGTCTTTCATTCTTCACGCTTGTTGTCTTCTGTCGGCTTTCATTCTTCAGGGCTGTTGTCTTCTGTTGGCTTTCATTCTTCAGGGCTGTTGTCTTCTGTTGGCTTTCATTCTTCACGCTTGTTGTCTTCTGTCGGCTTTCATTCTTCAGGGCTGTTGTCTCTCTTGTCTATTTTCAGCATTCTCTTCACGCTTGTTGTTGTCTTCGTTTGCTTTCATCTCCTTCAGGGCTGTTGTCTTCGTTGGCTCTTTCATTCTTCACGCTTGTTGTCTTCTTGTTGGTTTCTGCCATTCTTAGATGCCAGTTTGTTGTCTTCTGCCTAGCTTTCATTCTTCAGGGGCTGTTGTCTTCTGTTTATTTTCATTCTTCAGGGTTGTTGTCTTCTGGATATTTTCATTCTTCACGCTTGTTGTCTTCTGTCTCTATTTTCTATTCTTCATGCGCTTGTTGTCTCTGCTCATTTTCATTCAGGTCTGTCTTCTGTTGGCTTTCATTCTTCAGGGCTGTTGTCTTCTGTCGGCTTTCATTCTTCTTACGGGGGCTTGTTGTCTTCTTGTCGGTCATTCTTCAGGGCTGTTGTCTTCTGTTGGCTTTTCATTCTTTACACTTTGTTGTCTTCTTGTCGGTTTTCTTTATTCTTCAGGCTGTTGTCTTCTGTTGGCTTTCTTTCATTCTCTTCACGCTTGTTGTCTTCGTCGGCTTTTCATTCTTCAGGGCTGTTATGTCTTCTGTTGGCTTTCATTCTTCACGCTTGTTGTATTCTGTTTATTTTCATTCTTCAGGGCTGTTATCTTTCTGTTGGCTTTCATTCTTCTGGGCTGTTGTCTTCCTGGTAGCTCATTCTTCAATAGCCGCTTTGTTGTCTTCTGCTTTTCCATTCTTTTCAGGGCTGTTGTCTTCTGTTGGCTTTCATTCTTCAAGGGCTGTTGTCTTCTGTTGGCTTTCATTCTTCACGCTTGTTGTCTTCTCGTCGGCTTTCATTCTTCAGGGCTGTTGTCTTCTGTCTGCTTTTTTCTTTGGGGCTGTTGTCTTCTGTTGGCTTTCTTTCATTTCTTACGCTTGTTGTCTTTCGTCGGCTTTCATTCTTCAGATTCGTTGTCTTTCTGTTGGCTTTCATTCATCACGCTTGTTGTCTTCTGTCGGCTTTCATTCTTCAGGGCTGTTGTCTTCTGTTGGCTTTCATTCTTCGCTTATTTGTATTCTGTCAGCGGCTTTCATTCTTCCACGGTTGTCTTCCTTGCGCTTTCCATTCTTCAGGTATTTGTCTTCTGTTGCTTTCATTCTTCAGGGCTGTTGTCTTCTGTTGGCTTTCATTCTACACGCTTGTTGTCTTCTATCGGCTTTCATTCTTCACGCTTGTTGTCTTCTTGTCGGCTTTCATTCTTCAGGCTGTTGTCTTCTATTGGCTTTTCATTCTTCAGGGCTGTTGTCAAAGTTGGCTTTCATTCTTCACGCTTGTTGTCTTCTGTCGGCTTTTTCATTCTTCAGGGCTGTTGTTTCTGTTGACTTCATTATTCACGCTTGTTGTATTCTGTCGGCTTTTCATTCTTCAGGGCTGTTGTCTTCTATTGGCTTTTTTCTCATTATTCACGCTTGTTGTCTTCTTTAGAATGTTGTTTTCATTCTTCAGGGCTGTTGTCTTCTATTGGCTTTCATTCTTCAGGGTTGTTGTCTTCTGTTGGCTTTTCATTCTCTTCACGAGGCTGTTGTGCCCTGTCCTTTCATTCTTCAGGTCTGTTGTCTTTGTTGCTTTCTATTCTTCAGGTTGTTGTCTTCTGTTACTTTCATTCTTCTTCGCAGGGCTATTTGTCTTCTGTTGGCTTTCATTCTTCAGTGGGCTGTTGTTCCTTTCATTCTTCAGGGTTGTTGTCTTCTATTTGGCTTTCATTCTTGTTGTTGTCTTCTTGTCGGCTTTCATTCTTCAGGTCTGTTTGTCTTCTTGTTGGCTTTCATTATTCTTTCGCTTATTTGTTCTCTTCTTGTCGGCTTTTCATTCTTCTAGGTCTGTTGTCTTCTGTTGGCTTTCATTCTTCACGCTTGTTGTCTTCACCGGCTTTCATTCTTTAGGGCTGTTGTCTACTGTTGGCTTTCTTATTCTTCACGCTTGTTGTCTTCTGTTGCTTTTATCTTCAGTCTTCTGTTTTCATTCTTGTTGGCTTTCATTCTCAGGCTGTTGTCTTCTGTTATTTTTCATTCTTCAGGGTCTTCTGTTGTCTTCATTGTCTTCTATTGGCTTTCATTCTTCACGCTTGTTGTCTTCTGTGTCAGCTTTTTTCTTCAGGCCTGTTGTCTTCTGTTGGCTTTCATTCTTCTCAGGGCTGTTGTCTTCTTGTCATTTTCATTCTTGGCTGTTGTCTTTTGTTGGCTTTCATTCTTTGGGCTGTACGCTTTGGTTGGGTTCTGTCGGCTTTCACTTGTTTTCATTTCTTTAGGGCTGTTGTCTTCTGTTGGCTTTCATTCTTCACGCTTGTTGTCTTCTGTTGGCTTTCATTCTTCAGGGCTGTTGTCTTCTGTTGGCTTTCATTCTTCAGGGGGCTGTTGTCTTCTGTTGGCTTTCATTCTTCAGGGCTGTTGTCTTCTGTTGGCTTTCATTCTTCACGCTTGTTGTCTTCTGTCGGCTTTCATTCTTCAGGGCTGTTGTCTTCTGTTGGCTTTTTCATTCTTCAGGGCTGTTGTCTTCTGTTGCTTTCATTCTTCAGGGTGTTGTCTTCTGTTGGCTCACGTTGTCTTCTGTCGGCTTTCATTCTTCCAGGCCTGTTGTCTTCTGTTGGCTTTCATTCTTCAGCTTGTTGTCTTCTGTTGGCTTTTTTCATTCTTCAGGGCTGTTGTCTTCTGTTGACTTTCATTCTTCAGGGCTGGCATTCTTCAGGGCTGTTTGTCTTCTACGCTTGTTGTCTTCTGTCGGCTTTCATTCTTTCAGGCCTGTTGTCTTCTTCTTGTTGTTGGCTTTCATTCTTCACGCTTGTCTTTGCTTTCTTCTTGTTGGCTTTCATTCTTGGGGCTGTTGTCTTCTGTTGCTTTCATTCTTCACCTTGTTTCTTGTCTTCTCATTTCATTTTCAGGGCTGTTGTCTTCTGTTGGCTTCATTCTTCACGCTTGTTGTCTTATCGGCTTCATTCTTCCTTGTTGTCTTCTGTCGGCTTTCATTCTTCAGGGCTGTCTTTGTCATTCTTGTTGGCTTTCATTCTTCAGGGCTGTTGTCTTCTGTTGCTTTCATTCTTCCCGTATTGTCTTTGTCGGCTTTCATTCTTCTATTTTCATTTCTTCACGCTTGTCTTTGTCTTCTGTTGGCTTTCATTCTTCACGCTTGTTGTCTTCTGTCGGCTTTCATTCTTCAGGGCTGTTGTCTTCTATTTATTTTTTCATTCTTCAGGGGCTGTTGCATTGTTGTTGCTTGTATTCTGTCTTTCATTCTTCATTCTTTTAGGGCTTGTTGTCTTCTGTCGGCTTTCATTCTTCAGGGCTGTTGTCTTCTGTTGGCTTTTCATTCTTCGCTTGTTGTCTTCTGTCGGCTTTCACGCTTGTTTCTTCACGGCTTTTCATTCTTCAGGGCTGTTTCTTCTTGGCTTTCATTCTTCAGGGCTGTTGTCTTCTTGGCTTTCATTTTCATTCTTGTTCTTACTTGTTGTCTTCTGTCAGCTTTCTTCTAGGAGGGCTGTTGTCTTTGTTGGCATTTTCATTTTCTTTGTCATTTCATTGTATCTTCTGTCGGCTTTTCATTCTTCAGGCTTGTTGTCTTCTGTTGACTTTTCATTCTTTACAGGTTGTCTTCTGTGCTTTTCATTCTTCAGGGCTGTTGTCTTCTGTTGGCTTCATTCTTCACGCTTGTTGTCTTTTCATTCTTCAGGGCTATTTGTCTTCTGTTGGCTTTCATTCTTCACGCTTATTTGTCTTCTGTCGGCTTTCATTCTTCAGGGTTGTTGTCTTCTGTTGGCTCTTCAGGGCTGTTGTCTTCTGTCGGCTTTCATTCTTCACGCTTGTTGTCTTCTGTTGGCTTGTTGTCTTCTGTTGGCTTTCATTCTTCAGGGGCTGTTGTCTTCTGTTGGCTTTCATTCTTCAGGGCTGTTGTCTTCTGTTGGCTTTCATTCTAGGCTTGTTGTCTTCTGTCTGGCTTTATTTTTCAGGGCTGTTGTCTTCTGTTGGCTTTCATTCTTCAGGGCTGTTGTCTTCTGTTGGCTTTCATTCTTTAGATCTTTTGTCTTCTGTTGGCTTTTTCATTCTTGCTTGTTTGTCTTCTGTCGGCTTTCATTCTTCAGGGCTGTTGTCTTCTGTTGGCTTTCATTCTTCTTGTTGTCTTCTGTCATTTTCATTCTTCAGGGCTGTTGTCTTCTGTTGGCTTTCATTCTTCAGGGCTGTTGTCTTCTGTTCATTCTTCGGCTGTTGTCTTTGTTGGCTTTCATTTGCTTGTTGTCTTCTGTCAGCTTTCATTCTTCAGGGCTGTTGTCTTCTGTTGGCTTTCATTCTTCAGGTTTGTTGTCTTCTGTTGGCTTTCATTCTTCAGGGCTGTTGTCTTCTATTTGGCTTTCATTCTTCACGCTTGTCTTCTGTTGCTTTTCATTCTTCTTCTGTTGGCTTTCATTCTTCAGGGCTGTTTGTCTTCTGTCGGCTTTTCATTCTTCCGCTTGTTGTCTTCTGTCGGCTTTCATTCTTCAGGGCTTTCATTCTTGGGCTGTTGTCTTCTGTTGGCTTTCATTCTTTACGCTTGTTGTCTTCTGTTGGCTTTCATTCAGGGCTGTTGTCTTCTGTTGGCTTTCATTCTTCAGGGCTGTTGTGTTGGCTTTCATTCTTCATAGTCTGTTGTCTTCTGTTGGCATTCTTCACGCCTTGTTGTCTTCTGTCGGCTTTCATTCTTCTTCAGGGCTGTTGTCTTCTGTTGGCGCATTCATTCAGGGCTGTTGTCTTCTGTCGGCTTTCATTCTTCACGCTTGTTGTCTTCTGTTGGCTTTCATTCTTCAGGGCTTGTTGTTGTCTTCTGTTGGCTTTCTTTCATTCACTTGTTGTCTCTGTCGGCTTTCATTCTTCAGGGCTGTTGTCTTCTGTTGGCTTTCATTCTTCACATATTTGTCTTCTGTCAGCTTTCATTCTTCAGGCTGTTGTCTTCTATTGGCTTTCATTCTTCAGGGCTATTTGTCTTCTGTCGGCTTTCATTCTTCAGGGCTGTTGTCTTCTGTTCATTTTCATTCTTCAGGGCTGTTGTCTTCTGTTGGCTTTCATTCTTCACACTTGTTGTCTTCATTGCTTTCCATTCTTCAGGGCTGTTGTCTTCTGTTGGCTTTCATTCTTCAAGCTGTTGTCTTCTGTTGGCTTTCATTCTTCACGCTTGTCTTCTGTCGGCTTTCATTCTTCGGGCTGTTGTCTTCTGTTGGCTTTCATTCTTCAGGGCTATTTTCTTCTGTTGGCTTTCATTCTTCACGCTTATTTGTCTTCTGTTGGCTTTCATTCTTCAGGGCTGTTGTCTTCTGTTGGCTTTCATTCTTCACGCTTGTTGTCTTCTGTCGGCTTTCATTCTTCAGGCCTGTTGTCTTCTGTTGGCTTTCATTTTCACTTTTCATTCTTCACCTTGTTTCTTCTTCAGGTCTGTTGTCTTCTGTTGGCTTTCATTCTTCAGGGCTGTTGTCTTCTGTTGGCTTTCATTCTTCAGGGCTGTTGTCTTCTGTTGGCTTCATTCTTCACGCTTTTGTCTTCTGTTGGCTTTCATTTTCTTGTTGTCTTCTGTCCGGCTTTCATTCTTCAGGGCTTGTCTTCTGTCGGCTTTCATTCTTCAGGGCTGTTGTCTTCTGTTGGCTTTGTCATTCTTCAGGGCTGTTTCTTCAGGGCTGTTGTCTTCTATTTGGCTTTTCATTCTTCAGGCTTGTTGTCTTTGTCGGCTTTCATTCTTGCTGTTGTCTTCTGTTGGCTTTCATTCTTCACCTTGTTGTCTTCTGTTGGCTTTCATTCTTCAGGGCTGTTGTCTTTTGGCTTTTCATTCTTCAGGGCTGTTTGTCTTCTGTTGGCTTTCTTCTTCACGCTTATTTTCTTGTTGGCTTTTCATTCTTCAGGGCTGTTGTCTTCTGTTGGCTTTCATTCTTCACGCTTATTTGTCTTTGTCGGCTTTCTTCTTCAGGGCTGTTGTCTTCTGTTCATTCTTCAGGGCTTGTTGTCTTCTGTCGGCTTTTTTCATTCTTCAGGGCTGTTGTCTTCTGTTGCTTTCATTCTTCACGCTTGTTGTCTTCTGTCGGCTTTCATTCTTTCAGGGCTGTTGTCTTCTGTTGGCTTTCATTCTTCACGCTTGTTGTCTTCTGTCGCTTTTTCATTCTTCAGGGCTTTCTTCAGGGCTGTTGTCTTCTGTTGGCTTTCATTCTTCACGCTGTTGTCTTCTTCTTGGCTTTTTCTTCTTTCAGGGCTGTTGTCTTCTGTTGGCTTTCATTCTTCAGGGCTGTTGTCTTCTGTTGGCTTTTTCATTCTTCAGCTTTCATTCTTGTCTTCTGTTGGCTTTCATTCTTCAGGGCTGTTGTCTTCTGTTGGCTTTCATTCTTCCAGGGCTGTTGTCTTCTGTTGGCTTTCATTCTTCCGCTTGTTGTCTTCTGTCGGCTTTCATTCTTCAGGGCTGTTTGTCTTCTGTTGGCTTTCATTCTTCGCTTGTTATTCTGCTTTCATTCTTCTGTCTGTTGGCTTTCATTCTTCAGGGGTTGTCTTCTGTTGGCTTTCATTTTTTTCAGGGCTGTTGTCTTCTGTTGGCTTTCATTCTTCAGGGCTGTTGTCTTCTGTTGGCTTTCATTCTTCACGCTTGTTGTCTTCTGTCGGCTTTCATTCTTCAGGGCTGTTGTCTTCTGTTGGCTTTCATTCTTCAGGGCTGTTGTCTTCTGTTGCTTTCATTCTGTCGTTATCTTCTGTCATTTCATTCAGGGCTGTTGTCTTCTGTTGGCTTTCATTCTTCAGGTTTATTTGTCTTCTTGTCTGGCTTTCATTCTTAGGCTGTTGTCTTCTGTTGGCTTTCATTCAGGGCTTGTTGTCTTCTGTGGCTTTCATTCTTCAGGGCTGTTGTATTCTGTCGGCTTTTCATTCTTCAGGGCTGTTGTCTTATTTGGCTTTCATTCTTCACGCTTGTTGTCTTCTGTCGGCTTTCTTTCTTCTTCAGGTCTGTTGTCTTCTGTTGGCTTTCATTCTTCAGCTTTCATTCTTGTTGTCTTTGTCGGCTTTCATCATTCTTCAGGGCTGTTGTCTTCTGTTGGCTCATTCTTCGCTTGTTGTCTTCTGTCGGCTTTCATTCTTCAGGGCTGTTGTCTTCTGTTGGCTTTCATTCTTCACGCTGTTGTCTTCTGTCGGCTTTCATTCAGGGCTGTTGTCTTCTGTTGGCTTTCATTCTTCACGCTTGTTTTCTTCTTCAGGGCTGTTGGCTTTTCATTCTTCAGGGCTGTTGTCTTCCAGGCTTGTTGTCTTCTGTCGGCTTTTCATTCTTCAGGGCTGTTGTCTTCTGTTGGCTTTCATTTCTTCAGGGCTGTTGTCTTGTTGCTTTCATTCTTACCTTGTTGTCTTCTGTCAGCTTTCATTCTTTGGGCTATTTGTCTTCTGTTGGCTTTCATTCTTCAGGGCTGTTCATTCTTCTGTTGGCTTTGTTATTCTTCAGGGCTGTTGTCTTCTGTTGGCTTTCATTCTTCAGGGCTGTTGTATTCTGTTGGCTTTCATTCTTCACGCTTGTTGTCTTCTGTCGGCTCATTCTTCAGGCCTGTTGTCTTCCTGTTGGCTTTCATTCTTCAGGGCTGTTGTCTTCTGTTGGCTTTCATTCTTCAGGGCTGTTGTCTTCTGTTGGCTTTCATTCTTCACGCTTTTGTCTTCTGTCGGCTTTCATTCTGGGTGGGCTTGTTGTCTTCTGTTGGCTTTCATTCTTGCTTGTTGTATTCTGTCGGCTTTCATTCTTCAGGGCTGTTTCTTCTGTTCTTTATTCTTTTGTTGTCTTCTGTCGGCTTTCATTCTTCAGGGCTGTTGTCTTCTGTTGGCTTTCATTCTTCAGGGCTGTTGTCTTCTGTTGGCTTTCATTCTTCACGCTTGTTGTCTTCTGTCGGCTTTCATTCTTCTTGTCAGGGCTTTCATTCTTGTCTATTTGTCTTCTGTTGGCTTTTCATTCTTCAGGGCTTGTTGTCTTCTGTCGGCTTTCATTCTTCAGGGCTGTTGTCTTCTGTTGCTTTCATTCTTGGTCTATTTGTATTCTTCAGCTTTTCATTCTTCGGGCTGTTGTCTTCTGTTGGCTTTTCATTCTTCACGCTTGTTGTCTTCTGTCGGCTTTCATTCTTCAGGGCTGTTGTCTTCTTGGCTTTCATTCTTTGTTGTCTTCTGGCTTTCATTCTTCAGGCTTGTTGTCTTCTGTGGCTTTTCATTCTTCAGGGCTGTTGTCTTCTGTTGGCTTTCATTCTTCACGCTTGTTGTCTTCTGTTGGCTTTCATTCTTCAGGGCTGTTGTCTTCTGTTGGCTTTCATTTTCTTGTTGTCTTTCTTCAGGCCTGTTGTCTTCTGTTGGCTTTCATTCTTCAGGGCTGTTGTCTTCTGTTGGCTTTTCATTCTTCAGGGCTGTTGTCTTCTGTTGGCTTTCATTCTTCACGCTTATTTGTCTTCTGTCGGCTTTCATTCTTCAGGGCTGTTGTCTTCTGTTGGCTTTCATTCTTCACGCTTGTTGTCTTCTGTTTGGCTTTTCATTCTTCAGGGCTGTTGTCTTCTGTTGGCTTTCATTCTTCAGGGCTGTTGTCTTCTGGCTTTCATTCTTCACGCTTGTTGTCTTCTGTTGGCTTTTTCATTCTTCAGGGCTGTTGTCTTCTGTTGGCTTTCATTCTTCACGCTTGTTTTGTCTATTGTCGGCTTTTCATTCTTCAGGGCTGTTGTCTTCTGTTGGCTTTTCATTCTTCTGGGCTGTTGTCTTCTGTTCTTTCTTGTTGTCTTCTGTCGGCTTTCATTCTTCAGGGCTGTTGTCTTCTGTTGGCTTTCATTTTCTTGTTGTATTCTGTTGCTTTTCATTCTTCAGGGCTGTTGTCTTCTGTTGGCTTTCATTCTTCAGCTTGTTGTCTTCTGTGTTCATTCTTTCTGTCTTTGGCTTTTTCTTCCCCTGTTGTTGTCTTCTGTGGCTTTCAGGTCTTCTGTTGTCTTCTGTTGTTGTCTTCTGTTGGCTTTCATTCTTCAGGGCTGTTGTCTTCTGTTGGCTTTCATTCTTCAGGGTATTTGTCTTCTGTTCATTCTTCTTTGTCTTTTGGCTTTCATTCTCTTCAGGGCTTGTTGTCATTCTGCTTGTTTCTTCTGGCTTTTTTCATTCTTCAGGTCTTCTGTTGCTTTCTTCTTCAGGTCTGTTGTCTTCTTTGGCTTTCATTCTTCACGCTTGTTGTCTTCTGTCGGCTTTCATTCTTCAGGGGGCTTTGTCTTCTGTTGGCTTTTCATTCTTCGCTTGTTGTATTCTGTGGCTTTCATTCTTCAGGGCTGTTGTCTTCTGTTGGCTTTCATTCTTCACGCTTGTTGTCTTCTGTCGGCTTTCATTCTTCAGGGCTGTTGTCTTCTGTTGGCTTTCATTCTTCAGGCTTGTTGTCTTCTGTTGCTTTTCATTCTTCAGCTTATTTCATTCTTCTGTATTCTGGCTTTCATTCTTCAGGGCTGTTGTCTTCTATTTGGCTTTCATTCTTCAGGGCTGTTGTCTTCTGTTGGCTTTCATTCTTCAGGGCTGTTGTCTTTCTTGGCTTTCTTTCATTCTTCAGGCCTGTTGTCTTCTGTCAGCTTTCATTCTTCAGGCCTGTTGTCTTCTGTTAGCTTTCATTCTTCAGGGCTGTTGTCTTCTTCAGCTTTCATTCTTGTTGTCTTCTGTTGGCTTTCATTCTTCACGCTTGTTGTCTTCTGTCTTCTTCAGGGCTGTTGTCTTCTCTTTCATTCTTCACGCTTGTTGTCTTCTGTCGGCTTTCATTCTTCAGGGCTGTTGTCTTCTGTTGGCTTTCATTCTTCAGGGCTGTTGTCTTCTTTGGTATTCAGCTTTCATTCTTCACGCTTATTTGTCTTCGGCTTTCATTCTTCAGGGCTGTTGTCTTCTGTTGGCTTTCATTCTTCAGGGCTGTTGTCTTCGGCTTTCATTCTGTTTGGCTTTTCATTCTTCAGGGCTGTTGTCTTCTGTCGGCTTTTCATTCTTCACGGGTCTTCTGTTGCTTTCATTCTTCTTCAGGGCTGTTGTCTTTGGCTTTCATTCTTCAGTTTGTTGTATTCTGTTGGCTTTTCATTCTTCAGGGCTGTTGTCTTCTATTGGCTTTCTTCAGGGCTGTTGTCTTCTGTTGGCTTTCATTCTTCAGGGCTGTTGTCTTCTGTTGGCTTTCATTCTCAGGCTTGTTGTCTTCTGTCTATTTTCATTCTTCAGGCCTGTTGTCTTCTGTTGGCTTTCATTCTTCTTTTGTCTTCTGTTGTTGTCTTCTGTGGTTGGCTTTCATTCTTCCTTATTCTGTTGTCTTCTGTTGGCTTTCATTTCTTCACGCTTGTTGTCTTCTGTCGCTTTTCATTCTTCAGGGCTGTTGTCTTCTGTTGGCTTTCATTCTTCGCTTGTTGTCTTCTGTCGGCTTTCATTCTTCAGGGCTGTTGTCTTCTGTTGGCTTTCATTCTTCACTGTTGTCTTCTGTTGTCTTCTGGTCTTTTCATTCTTCAGGGCTGTTGTCTTCTGTTGGCTTTCATTCTTCTTCAGGGCATTCTTTGTCTTCTGTTGGCTTTCATTCTTCAGGGCTGTTGTCTTCTGTTGGCTTTCATTCTTCTTCAGGCTTGTTGTCTTCTGTTGGCTTTCATTCTTCTTGGGCTGTTGTCTTCTGTTGGCTTTCATTCTTCAGGGCTGTTGTCTTCTGTTGGCTTTCATTCTTCAGGGCTGTTGTCTTTGTTGTCTTTCATTCTTCACGCTTGTCTTCTGCTTTCATTCTTCGGCTGTTGTCTTCTGTTGCTTTCATTCTTCAGGCTTGTCTTTGTCTTCTGTCTGTTGTCTTTTCATTCATTCTTCAGGGCTGTTGTATTCTGTCGGCTTTCATTCTTTGTTGTCTTCTGTTGGCTTTCATTCTTCACGCTTGTTGTCTTCTGTCGGCTTTCATTCTTCATTCTTCAGACGCTTTTTGTATTCTTCACATTCTTGTTGTCTTCTGTTGGCTTTCATTCTTCAGTCTGTTGTCTTCTGTTGGCTTTCATTCTTCCCGCTTGTTGTCTTCTGTCCTTTCATTCTTCAGGGCTGTTGTCTTCTGTTGGCTTTCATTCTTCACGCTTGTTGTCTTCTGTCGGCTTTCATTCTTCAGGGCTGTTGTCTTCTGTTGGCTTTCATTCTTCCAGGGCTGTTGTCTTCTGTTGGCTTTCATTCTTCAGGGCTGTTGTCTTCTGTTGGCTTTTCATTCTTCAGGGCTGTTGTCTTCATTCTGGCTTTCATTCTTCAGGGCTGTTGTCTTCTGTTGGCTTTCATTCTTCACGCTTGTTGTCTTCTGTCGGCTTTCATTCTTCAGGGCTGTTGTCTTCTGTTGGCTTTCATTCTTCACGCTTGTTGTCTTCTGTTGGCTTTCATTCTTCAGGGCTGTTGTCTTCTGTTGGCTTTCATTCTTCAGGCTTGTTGTCTTCTGTGCTTTCATTCTTCTGTTGGCTTTCATTCTTCAGGGCTGTTGTCTTCTGTTGGCTTTCATTCTTCAGGCTTGTTGTCTTCTGTCGGCTTTCATTCTTCAGGGCTGTTGTCTTCTGTTGGCTTTCATTCTTCAGGTCTGCATTCATTCTTAGCTTTCATTCTTGTTGTCTTCTGTTGGCTTTCATTCTTCAGGGTCTTTCATTCTTCAGGCCTGTTGTCTTCTTGCTTTCATTCTTCAGGGGCTGTTGGCTTTCATTCTTCACGCTTGTTGTCTTCTGTCGGCTTTCATTCTTCAGGGCTGTTGTCTTCTGTTGGCTTTCATTCTTCAGGGCTGTTGTCTTTCTTTCATTCTTCAGGGCTGTTGTCTTCTGTTGGCTTTCATTCTTCACGCTTGTTGTCTTCTGTCGGCTTTCATTCTTCAGGGCTGTTGTCTTCTGTTGGCTTTCATTCTTCAGGGCTGTTGTCTTCTGTTGTATTCTGTTCTTTTCATTCTTCAGGGCTGTTGTCTTCTGTTGGCTTTCATTCTTCACGCTTGTTGTCTTCTGTCGGCTTTCATTCTTCAGGGCTGTTGTTGTCTTCTGTTGGCTGTTGGCTTTTTCATTTTCAGGGCTGTTGTCTTCTTCTTTTTCGCTTGTTGTCTTCTGTGTCTGTTGGGCTTGTTGTTTCTGTCGGCTTTCATTCTTTCAGGGCTGTTGTCTTCTGTTGGCTTTCATTCTTCAGGGCTGTTGTCTTCCTGTTGGCTTTCATTCTTCAGGGCTTGTTGTCTTCTGTCGGCTTTCATTCTTCAGGGCTGTTGTCTTCTGTTGGCTTTCATTCTTCAGGGTCTGTTGTCTTCTGTTGGCTTTCATTCTTCAGGCTGTTGTCTTCTGTTGGCTTTCATTCTTCAGGGCTGTTGTCTTCTGTTGGCTTTCATTCTTCAGGCTTGTTGTCTTCTGTGGCTTTCATTCTTCAGGGCTGTTGTCTTCTGTTGGCTTTCATTCTTCACGCTTGTTGTCTTCTGTCGGCTTTCATTCTTCAGGGCTGTTTCTTCTGTTGGCTTTCATTCTTCACGCTTGTTCTTCTGTTGGCTTTCATTTTCATTCTTCATTCTTCACGCTTGTTGTCTTCTGTCGGCTTTCATTCTTCAGGGGCTGTTGTCTTCTGTTGGCTTTCATTCTTGGCTGTTGTCTTCTGTTGGCTTTTCATTCTTCAGGCTGTTGTCTTCTGTTGGCTTTTCATTCTTCTTCAGGCCTGTTGTCTTCTGTTGCTTTCATTCTTCAGGGCTGTTGTCTTCTGCTTTCATTCTTCAGGGCTGTTGTCTTCTGTTTGTTGTCTTCGCTTTTTGGCTTTCATTCTTCAGGCTGTTGGGCTGTTGTCTTCTGTTGGCTTTCATTCTTCAGGGCTGTTGTCTTCTGTTGGCTTTCATTCTTCAGGGCTGTTGTCTTCTGTTGGCTTTCATTCTTCACGCTTGTTGTCTTCTTGCTTTCATTCTTCAGGCCTGTTGTCTTCTGTTGGCATTTTCATTCTTCAGGGCTGTTGTCTTCTGTTGGCTTTTCATTCTTCTGTCGCTTTCATTCTTCCAGGCCTGTTTCTTCTGTTGGCTTTCATTCTTCAGGGCTGTTGTCTTCTGTTGGCATTTTCATTCTTCACGCTTGTTGTCTTCTGTCGGCTTTCATTCTTCAGGGCTGTTGTCTTCTGTTGGCTTTCATTCTTCAGGTTGTCCTTCTGTCGGCTTTCATTCTTCAGGGATTCTTGTTGTCTTCTGTTGGCTTTCATTCTTCACGCTTCTTTGTCTTCATTCTTCGGGCTGTTTTCATTCTTCAGGGCCTGTTGTCTTCTGTTGGCTTTCATTCTTCAGGGCTGTTGTCTTCTGTTGGCTTTCATTCTTCAGGGCTGTTGTCTTCTGTTGGCTTTCTGTTGTTGCTTTCATTCTTCAGGGCTGTTGTCTTCTGTTGGCTTTCATTCTTCAGGGCTGTTGTCTTCTGTTTTTCATTCTTGGCTGTTGTCTTCTGTTGGCTTTCATTCTTCTGTGGGCTTGTTGTCTTCTGTCGGCTTTCATTCTTCAGGGCTGTTGTTGTCTTTGTTCTTCATTCTTGTTGTTGTATTCTTTCGGCTTTCATTCTTCAGGGCTGTTGTCTTCTGTTGGCTTTCATTCTTTCAGGGCTGTTGTCTTCTGTTGGCTTTCATTCTTCAGGGCTGTTGTCTTCTGTTGGCTTTCATTCTTCATTCTTCAGGCCTGTTTGTTGTCATTTCTGTTGTCTTCTATTCGGCTTTCATTCTTCAGGGCTGTTGTCTTCTGTTGGCTTTCATTCTTCAGGGCTGTTGTCTTTGTTGCTTTCATTCTTTCTGTTGTCTTCTGTTGGCTTTCATTCTTTTTTGTTGCTTTCATTCTTCTGTTGGCTTTCATTCTTCAGGGCTGTTGTCTTCTGTTGCTTTTTCATTCTTGGCTGTTGTCTTCTGTTGGCTTTCATTCTTCGCTTGTTGTCTTCTGTCGGCTTTCATTCTTCAGGGCTGTTGTCTTCTGTTGGCTTTCATTCTTTTCATTCTTCAGGGCTTGTTGTCTTCTGTTGTCTTTTCATTCTTCAGGGCTGTTGTCTTCTGTTGGCTTTCATTCTTCACGCTTGTTGTCTTCTGTTGGCTTTCATTCTTCAGGGCTGTTGTCTTCTGTTGGCTTTCATTCTTCAGGTCTTCTGTTGCTTTCATTCTTCTGTTGTTGGCTTTCATTCTTCAGGGCTGTTGTCTTCTGCTTTCATTCTTGGCTGTTGTCTTTTCATTCTTCTTCACGCTTGTTGTCTTCTGTCGGCTTTCATTCTTCAGGGCTGTTGTCTTCTGTTGGTTGTATTTTCATTCTTCACACTTGTTGTCTTCTGTTGGCTTTCATTCTTCAGGGCTGTTTAGGCTTTCATTCTTCAGGCTATTTGTCTTCTTTCATTTCAGGCTTGTTGCTTTTCGGCTTTCATTCTTCAGGCCTGTTGTCTTCTGTTGGCTTTCATTCTTCTGCTTTCATTCTTCAGGCTGTTGTCTTCTGTTGGCTTTCATTCTTCAGGGCTGTTGTCTTCTGTTGCTTTCATTCTTCAGGGTCTTCTGTTTCATTCTTCTGTTGTCTTCTGTTGGCTTTCATTCTTCCAGGGCTGTTGTCTTCTGTTGGCTTTCATTCTTCAGGGCTTGTTGTCTTCTGTCGGCTTTCATTCTTCAGGGCTGTTGTCTTCTGTTGGCATTTTCAGGCTGTTGTCTTTCTTCATTCTTCAGGGCTTGTTGTCTTCTGTTGGGCTGTTGTCTTTTTGGCTTTCTTCAGGGCTGTTGTCTTCTGTTGGCTTTCATTCTTCACGCTTGTTGTCTTCTGTTTCATTCTTCAGGGCTGTTGTCTTCTGTTGGCTTTCATTCTTCAGGGCTGTTGTCTTCTGTTGGCTTTCATTCTTCAGGGCTGTTGTCTTCTGGCTTTCATTCTTTTCGGCTTTCATTCTTCTGTTGTCTTCTGTTGGCTTTGTCTTCTGTCATTTGCTTTCATTCTTCAGGGCTGTTGTCTTCTGTTGGCTTTCATTCTTCAGGGCTTTCATTCTTCAGGGCTGTTGTCTTCTGTTGGCTTTCATTTGGCTGTTGTATTCATTCTTTTCATTCTTCAGGGCTGTTGTCTTCTGTTGGCTTTCATTCTCAGGGCTGTTGTCTTCTGTTGGCTTTCATTCTTCTTGTTGTCTTCTTGCTTTCATTCTTCAGCTTATTTGTCTTCTGGCTTTCATTCTTCAGGGCTGTTGTCTTCTGTTGGCTTTCATTCTTCAGGGCTGTTGGCTTTCATTCTTCTGTTGGCTGTTGTCTTCTGTTGGCTTTCATTCTTCAGGGCTGTTGTCTTCTGTTGGCTTTCATTCTTCACGCTTGTTGTCTTCTGTCGGCTTTCATTCTTCAGGGCTGTTGTCTTCTGTTGGCTTTTCATTCTTCCTGTTGTCTTCTGTTGGCTTTCATTCTTCAGGGCTGTTGTCTTCTGTTGGCTTTCATTCTTGTTGTTGTCTTCTGTTCTGTTGGCTTTCATTCTTCAGGGCTGTTGTCTTCTGTTGGCTTTCATTCTTCAGGGCTGTTGTCTTCTGTTGGCTTTCATTCTTCAGGGCTTGTTGTCTTCTGTTGGCTTTCATTCTTCAGGCCTGTTGTCTTCTGTTGGCTTTCATTCTTCAGGGCTGTTGTCTTCTGTTGGCTTTCATTCTTCAGGGCTGTTGTCTTTGTTGGCTTTCATTCTTCAGGCTTGTTGTCTTCTGTCGGCTTTCATTCTTCAGGCCTGTTGTCTTCTGTTGGCTTTCATTCTTCAGGGCTGTTGTCTTCTGTTGGCTTTCATTCTTCAGGCCTGTTGTCTTCTGTTGGCTTTTCATTCTTCAGGGCCTGTTGTCTTCTGTTTTCATTCTTCACGCTTGTTGTCTTTTCGGCTTTTCATTCTTCAGGCTGTTGTTGTTCTTCATTCTGTTGGCTTTCATTCTTCAGGCTTGTTGTCTTCTGTTCTTTCATTCTTCAGGGCCTGTTGTCTTCTGTTGGCTTTCATTCTTCAGGCTTGTTGTCTTCTGTTGGCTTTCATTCTTCAGGGCTGTTGTCTTCTGTTGCTTTCATTCTTCTTGTTGTCTTCTGTCGGCTTTCATTCTTCAGGGCTGTTGTCTTCTGTTGGCTTTCATTCTTTCTTGTTGTCTTCTGTCGGCTTTCATTCTTCAGGGCTGTTGTCTTCTGTTGGCTTTCATTCTTCAGCTTGTCTTTCATTCTTCAGGCCTGTTGTCTTCTGTTGGCTTTCATTCTTCAGGGCTGTTTTGTCTTTGTTTCATTCTTCAAGGCTGTTGTCTTCTGTTGGCTTTTCATTCTTCAGGGCTGTTGTCTTCTGTTGGCTTTCATTCTTCACGCTTGTTGTCTTCTGTCGTCTTTCATTCTTCAGGGCTGTTGTCTTCTGTTGGCTTTCATTCTTCACGCTTGTTGTCTTCTGTCGGCTTTCATTCTTCAGGGCTGTTGTCTTCTGTTGGCTTTCATTCTTCACGCTTGCTTGTTGTCTTCTGTTGGCTTTCATTCTTCAGGGATGTTGTCTTTCTTCACGCTTGTTGTCTTCTGTCGGCTTTCATTTTCAGGGCTGTTTCTTCTGTTGGCTTTCATTCTTCACGCTTGTTGTCTTCTGTCGGCTTTCATTCTTCTGTTGTCTTCTTTGGCTTTCATTCTTCACGCTTGTTGTCTTCTGTCGGCTTTCATTCTTCAGGGCTGTTGTCTTCTGTTGGCTTTCATTCTTTACGCTTGTTATCTTCTGTCGGCTTTCATTCTTCAGGGCTGTTGTCTTCTGTTGGCTTTCATTCTTCTTGGCTGTTGCCTTCATTTGTCTTTTCATTCTTTCTGTTGTCTTCTGTTCTTTCATTCTTTTGTCTTTCATTCTGTCGGCTCTCATTCTTCATTGCTGTTGCCTTCTGTTGGTTTTCATTCTTCATTGCTGTTGCCTTCTGTTTTCTTTCATACTTTATTATAAACAGAGCATTTACTTAAATACTTGTATCTTTAAAAAGAACGTTAAACATAAAATGTCTTTTTATATATATATATATATATATATATATATATATATATATATATATATATATATTTGGAATATGAAAAAATTCGTGTTACCTAAATATCTGAAAATAATCTAAATAAAGTGAAATAATCGAAAGTTAAGTTCATTTTCTTGGAATCGGACAGCAATGCCAAGTCCAACAGCAACTAAAATTGGACATTATGTAAACGCACAACATGTTGTATCACTTCATTAGGTTTCTCCGATAGTTACGAGCGACGGACTAGTATTATTTGTTAGTTTGTTTAGTGGCATAATGATTGCTTATGGGTCATTTAAAGCAGAAATTTTATTTCCTTGGAAGAATTAGTAATTTCGTTGACAAAAAATGCTTTGCTGGTAATTTTTTGTTACAAAAAATGCTTTGCTGGTAATTTTTTGTTACAAAAAGACGTTGCATGAAAATGTATTGTCGCTATTTTCATTATAAAATCTTTTATACTTCCGTCATGGGTCCTTACCTATAACTACAGAATGAACTCTTCCTAACACTATGTATACTACGCCTCTCAAGAGAGAGGGTCGAATCGAGTCGAGCCGATAGTAGTTCACTCCAAACCAGACTGACAGTCATACTAACACCTTCCACATCTTGTACTATTATATCGTGTAATATACCTTCATTATTAAGTATTTGCCCACAGTTGGGACGTAGGAATAACGCCAATTAAGAGGTGGTTCCACGCTCCACAAAACCTCCTGATCAGAGGCCTTGTTGCCGGATGTAGTTTATTGTCAGACCCACCACAGATCAGTCTTATTGGTCCCGTTCTAAGACATAATTTTCTGTGAGGTGGCACATTATTTAATAAAGCTTTCATTCCATGTTACAAAATACAGGATGTCTACTCAAACATGTGTACCCACTAAATATAACGTTACTATTAATAAGAAACATTATAGAGTAAGAAAAGAAAATTATCCAATCAAGACTGCGGTATGTCTCAAAAAGATACGCATTTCTTAAATAGGCTAATAAGTCTTACTTTAATTGTTTCCTGTGGTGTTATGGTAACACATACTTAGCTGAAAAAGTGTTTCCCTCATGAAAAGTACGGGTTCGAAACCTATCGTGGAGAAGGGGTTCTTTTCTGAGACTCTTGATCTCTAAACTAGGAGATATTAATTTCAGTGTTTCAAAAAAAAGACAATATCTACTGGGCACGAAATATAATGTTAATAGTAATAAAAAAAATTATGTAAATAGATGCTATAAGGTAACGCTAAAAAGTCATTGCCATTTTTTACAGCGTGTGGGAAAAAGTAATCACTGATACGCAAATGAGTGCCGGAAAAGCGGTGGGTTTTGCGCACACACATTGGTCATACCTTGAACAGCGGCGGGGAAGCTGATAGTTCGGGGATTGCCTGCTTTATTACTTTACAGTGGGCTTGTTCGCAGCAGCATTAACACGCCTAATACGTCCAGCTTTTGGAGATAATATTGTGTGAACCCACGGCCAGGCATTGGTTCCAGACATTCAAGTCAAGAAATCTGTGATTAATCCCGCACTGGCCGGCCACAAGTCCTGAATGATGAGGCTGTGAAGGCGGTCATAACGGAGAACAACAACCAAACCTGCGGTGATCTTACCGAACGCTTTCAAGTTGAAAACGTTCACCTTCATCACGTAGGGAAGGCGTAAAAGTTGAGTTAGTGGGTAAACCACACACACTGTCCGAAGTAAACAAGCAGCAATGAATGACAGTTTTTCGTTTCTTTCTCAGAACCGCAAAGTGTTCAGATTTGGCAGGGAGCTCACTAGTGACAAAAAAGTGAATTCTGTATGACACTCACAAGCATATCTGACATTGATTGTCACCACAGGACCCTGTGTCTCACACAAAATGTCCAATTCTACACCAATGCAAGATCATGCTCTGTATCTCGTGGACTGATGGGCAAGTGTTACACTATGAGCTGCTACAACGGACCAAACCAACTCTTCGTACTTGTAGTAGTAGTTGGAACGTGTGTAAGAAACCCTGAAGCAGAAGGTGCCAGCATTGTTTAATCGCAAGCGTGTACTCTTCAGCTATGACAATGCCAGGCCTCATATGGTGCAGATGAACAGAGATACCATACGGTGACACTGTGCCATCCACCTTACCCCGGAACTTGCACCAACAGATTACAACCTCTTCTATTCCCTGGGCAACAACCTTCGTAGGAAATCCTTCACAAATGAGACAGGCTTACGACAGGCATTTGTTTGAATCCAAGACAGTTGACTTTTACCGCCAGTGCTTTGCAAAACTGAAAGAACGTTAGAAAAATGTTCTGGATGCCGGTGGAGACTACTTTGAGGACTACTTTGAGTATGTCAAATTTGCTGTATATCTTTTTGTTCTAAGAAATCAAAAATAGCAAGAAATCTTTTGTTTATCTTGTAAATTTTTCCCCATCGTCCCTCATTTGAAGCAAAAATCAAAGTGTCAATTAGTATTAGATAGTTTCCTTTATGAAGCATTTTGATATTTCATACAATGATAAAAGAAGTTCCGGTTTTCCTGTGCATATGATTATAACTTGAAAATAAAATGTTGGCTATGGTTTTATTACACAATGCAACATAGTTTGTTTTCAAATTATTGTCTTTACGCTAATAAATTAACCATAAGAAACAAGTAGAATCAATAAAAATTGAAATAACAATTCTTCCTCTAAATATTTTTATGCTTCTCTACTAAAATATTGCAAGTCAACCATGACTGTTTATCGCTATGAAGGAAATTAATGTCAAATATCGAAATTGAATGAACACCTAGTCAAACAGATTTTTTTCCATTTCTTCTAATTAACTTGTCCAATTAATTATATTTATCTTCTTAAGTAAATAGTCTTTTTTTTATCTAGAACTGTATTATTCCATTCTATTTGACCAAAGAATTTTGATCAATTCATTGGTCTATGTCTAGCAATTGAGTACCAATTCCTTCGATCAATCAGCGCCTATCTGGCAACAGCGACACGGCAAAGCTACATTAAAAATAAAGATGTGATATTTGAGTCGTCGTTTCCGATAACAAATTAATTAAAAGTTGCTAACTTATAGTACAACAACAAAAGTATCAAAAAGACATATTTGGAAAATCAAATAGGCTGAAATAACATTATATCTTTTCTTTGTTGGCATATATTTTTTTTCAGTTTATCATATAAATATATAAAGTAAATATTCTTAGTGAGATGTAAGTATTTTACTATAAGGTAGAGGATGAAAGAAGTATCAATCTAAAATGAATATTAATTAACAACTGCTCATCTAAGAAATTCAGATAATATAAAAAGTACGCTATTATGTTTCAAGTAGAAATACGATGAAAAAAGTCAACAATTAAAACTAAATGACGTTAATTACAAATCCAGACGAAAGTAAATGTTTCCTAGGATTTTGGGGATCTTGGATCTTCATAACTCTCCTGTATCTTGCTACACTGCCCCTTTTCTATGCTACACTAAGTAAATCCTATCTTCTTTCTGTCCCCTCTCTCTTTTCTTCTCCTTGTCATCAAATTACTCAGACTTAACTCTTTGTTTTTCCGCCTCCTGTTCATCTTAGCCTCAATATACATTATGAGTATGAAATATTGCCAATTTTTCTCCATGGTTTTCTTCCATAGAAACATTCGCTGTCTCTTTCCGATTAATAGCATCGTTTCTTTGTAGTTCTGATTTTCTTTAAGATGTCCTCGATACTCACATGCTATTCTTAGCATTCGTCGATTGAACCGCGTTTCATTCGCTTCGCGTCTCTGTGACGAAATAGGCCAGCATCCACTACGATATTGATCAAACATTATATCAGCGTCCAGCACTATTCATTGTTTCTTAGAATATTCTTCGAACACTTAATATTTTGTTTTCCCATATGAAATCTCGTCCTTTTATGAATGACAATAAAACACTTTCATTTAATCAAAACGTACTTTTTTAAATAAAATAATTTTCGTTTTCTGTCGTCAGTTTTCATCCACCATATCTCTAAGCTGTTCATCCTATAAAAACACCTCGTCTTTTGCATTAATAAATTGTTTAAATACTTCAACTCCTTTTTTACTATAAAGAGAACATTCTATTGCGTATGGAAGACTCAAAGTGTTTAAATAAATGATAATTCTTGTGAATACAGTGGATATTCCAAAATCAACTTTTGAACGGTGGCGCCCGTGAACTGGGATAGCACGCATTGTCATAAAACAGAATTGAGTCATTTCTATTGTTTAGTTGAGATTCTTTCTTTATTAACAATCCTTAACTGAAAAATGCAAACAAATAGTTGATATTTCGTACAGCCTTTGTGGCAGTGTGGCCGGACTTGAACGCGTACAATATGAGCAGCGGACATTTTTTAATTGTTATCATTTTCTGGAAGCTACAAATATTTTCATGGATCCCCACCCAGACAAAATAGTGAATACATTAGTAAGAAAGAAGAGCTAAAGTATAATATTTCATATGAGACAACTTAAAACTTTGCTAAATTTCTAAAAAGAAACTTTAGCTTTTCCTATGCGTTTACCGGTTTTCATATCATAATTTCCGTTCATTATTTACATTATTCGGACTATTGTCCTCATCTTTGTCGCCATATATATTACAACGTTTTGGTCGTTGTACGCTCCGGCCTTCTTCAGGTGGTTAGAATGTTGAACTGAACCCTTTATTTCGCTCACTGGGGTAGACTGTTCTAGTTCCACGTGCCATGTCTAATGGATGTCAGTTATCAGTTATCTCCTGTTAATTTCCCTCTCCAAGTTTTCCACCACTTTAACTTAACTCAAGGACACATGGCACAGTGGATAAAAGAGTTAGTTAGATCCAGTGACAGGACCCAAAGAGTGTGAGTTCAATACCCGTTGGAGAATTTGGAGAGAGGAATTAATAGGACATTTAGACATGGCAAGTGGAA